AGGTTTCATATGCATATATGTTGGGTTCACTCGTTTGTTTGCTTTACTTTGTTTGTTTTGATTTAAGATGAACAGTTTATTGGGATGGGATGTTAATTTTGAGAACATTTTATTATTGACGAATTGTCGAGACATTATGCGCTGTTCATCGGACCATGGACCATTTATAAATGGTCTGTGATCGGACATGGACGATATTTTGCCGCATTACTCATATCATTAATTTTACTGTATATGACTAGATATATTAGCGTAAACAAAAGCAGTGGTTTTTTTTTGGTATACACACTTTGCTATGGAGTGTTTGGGCAGGATATTTTTTTATTTTAAATTACACCAGGATGTGAGACAGGGTGGTACCTGTGCACTTAAGATATAATCAAGGTCAGACAGAACTATAACAGACTTTACTTTTTATGGAACTTTTAAATTAACAAATAAAAATTATTTAACTTCCACCGACATGGAAGTAAAAAGAAAATACTGCACTAAATGCATTTTCAACAATGAAAGAAAAAACTGTTGTGACGGTCAGAAATTCAGGTTTTGAAAAGTTAAAGTAGGCTATTTACCTTGGGACGCTATCCTGTTTTTGTTGTGCTTTCGTAGATGCTCCATGAACGAGAAAATCGTGATCGATTGCTTATCCCAAATGTCGTGCCCGTCTGCATAGCCTGCGTTTGTTCAAACGAGATCACTTTGTCGTTTGCGTTTTAATTTTTCAAATGATGAAAAAATGGGCGTTGTCGTTTCAATGTTGCCATCATGCCCGTACATTTTTGCGAAATGAATAATTCATCAATGAACTTTTATGCCCCGCCTCTTGCGACGCAGTTGGTCAGGCCTGCGTGATTTGCATTTTGTTGGTCCACGAATCGGGACCAGTGATATGACGCCCTCTCGGGATATTGTTGCCAGAAAGAAGAAGAAAGCGGCGTGATGGTTTTGTGTTGTTCTGGTCATGCCCGTTGTTGTGAACGTTGCAGCGGGCATTTTTAGGATATAACATGCCCATTGTAACGGTCACATAAACGAAACTGACAATCAGTGGAGAATAATGAGATCGAGACCAAGGCAAAATGGCTCATCAAAATCACCAGGAACGAGGCTCGCATATATAGCTGCCTCTGAGTAAGGAATAAGTAGAGACGTTAATTGCTTTCTATGTGTACAAGGGCGGATCCAGAACACAATTTTGGGGGAGGCCAAAAAAATTTTGGTCCCCCCAAAAAGTGGGTAAAAAAAATTACGGCGTGGGGTTCGGGGCCCGCTTAAGGGCCCCGAAAATTTTTTGGATTCTAGATGCTCTGTGGTGCGATCTGAGGCAATTTCTGACCACTTTAACAAATGTTTTTTGAGGAAAAGATGGTGGTGTACTCATTGCCTGCCTTTATTGCGATGTCACATAAAAAAAAAAAATTGGTTTCGTTTGGGGGGGGGGGGGGGGCATGGCCCCCTTTGGCCCCCCCCCCTGGATCCGCCCTTGTATGTGTATGGATACTAGTTAGCAGGCCTATTATATCGTTCGTGATTTTGAGATGATTACTGTTTGTTTGTTTGTTTGTTTGTTTGTTTGTTTGTTTGTTTTTTCTCAGAGAAATGACTTATGAGGATGACTTATGAGGATGATGGCTTGATTCTTAATTTAAACGGTTCGCTGAATTTCTTTGAACTTTTCAAATGTGAACAAATTTTGGTTTGGCAAATAAAATCTGGATTGTACTATTCAGGCATTGAATTCACGCCCCTTTAATATTCAAATTCTGCACGAGGGTCCTGATAAACATCGAAACATTAGGCCCTCTAATTTTGTCAATTAATTTTGTATAATGAAATATTATTTCAGGTCAATCCAGTCAGTAAGCAACTTTTGTTTTCTTATTTACAAAGAGTGAAATTAGGGACCTTACTGTTCAAGAGTGAAAATCAGTTAAATGTTTAGATTGAAATAGATCTACTTTTGAAAAAATAAACCTCAATTCGATTGAATGAATTTCATTCTCAACCATCTTGTCAAGATAGTGTCAGTCGAATGGAGAAATTTGTTTTCTCGCATGGAGCGATTTTTACTCTTTAGAAATAAAGGAGTATACGGAAGAAGAATAAAAGTAGCCACATTTAAAGACAGTTTTATAGGGACGTTTACATTTCCCGAAACGTACCTGCCGATTTGAGGAGAAAATCCTTGCTGAAAGTGGAGATAGAACTGGTACCAAATACCCTGTGAAATTATTCCGCCTGAAATGGTATCATTGGGAAGAAGGCGGTCTTAGAAATTGTGCATGCCGGGCACAGATTTTAACGTGCGTTGGCACCGGAATCCAGTTATATGACGAGACCCCAACAATTGTGTATACGTTTTCTCTGTTTTCTCAAAATGGTTCTTATCTACTGAGCTGAAACTTCAACAAGTTAGTTGTTATGCACCCTTCTTAAGATTAAGAACAGATTTGTTGTTTCGAACGAAAAGCAAAATACACAAAAAGCAAATGTTCCAATGAACCTGTAACGTAAGCTCATCGCATCGGTCAAAATTCTACCATGCACAAACATATTTTTCACAAGAAAAGAAGACAGCCCACACACATGCCTATCAATCTACGACTTTTTGCCAGTTTGGTAACTATTTTTCTCTAAAATAAAATTCCCCTCATGATACTCGGCTACATACCTTGATCCGCATGTCAAACATCTTCATCTCTACCAACCTTTATGATCGGGATTCCTCTAAAAAAAATTGGCGGCCTGTATCTGTTGATTTTACTCCGACCGAGGACCATCCAACCTCACCCCGCCGTCCGCTGTCGCCGCGCCGATGACTCCTCTGAATTTCGGCGATCCATTGCCTTCTATTTAACCACTTTTCTTACTACCAGCATAACATCATAAACACCACTGCAGGCTTAAGATTTTCGATCGGTTTATTTTTTAAGCGGGTCACGACTCAACTGTTCACACTAAATATTGTCTGTTTTATTTATGCCTTGGCGTGCTTTTCAAGACTGTTAAAATATTCAGCGTGAAATAGAAAAAAATGCTGGTACGAAAAACGAAAATTACTTGCAAAATCTGCCGTGATTTTGTATCACAGTTTTAGGTGGCCACCATCTTCGATTGCAAATCAGACAAGCATAAATTTGAAAAATAAGATGCACATGCCAAATTCATTTCAGAATGCCAAGTCTTCTTGACTTCTTAAACTAATTGTCGCCGCTATTGTCTTCACAGACTTTATGTTTGGAACATGGGTGTAACTATTGTGCGGTGGGACACAGGCCCGAGCATGCAGTGCGGCAAAGATCCCCGTTTGGGACCACGCACTAAGTCTTGTGTACTCCATGCTTAGAGTTTGGACAAGACAAAAAGAGGAGTTAATTGTTTTTTTTTGGGGGGGGGGGGGGTTTGAAAGTCATTGATTACCCGTCCGCCTTTCAGTAAACAAGGCTCCCGATACACTCTGCAAATTGCACCCCATTTACAACACTGATTTTAAAAAGATACATATTCGTTTTGTTATTTTCCGATTAGTTAAACTTTTTCCGAATTGAAGAATATAAAAAATTGATGTTTTTTTAATCTGGTTATTTTTCATGACAGATTACTTAAAATAGAACTCAGGAAATATGGAGATGTTTCGTGGAATTTAGTGGGCAAAAATTATATTTTACAAAATTCATTATAGCTTTCTGACTGGGCACATGTACAAAATATACATGTACTCGGCATGACTTCTGTAAAGCATGAAAGGATTATTCTTTTGTGTGAATGCTGGTACCCACATTTTAGGAAAGAGACTATACAAACACTTTACGGTCGATGGCTTTTAAAAAACAAATCAAACAAAGAAAAAATAAAGTTCCTTTGTAAATTGCAGTGTATGGATTTAGGCTTACGCATAATATTCCTGAAGACGGACATATGAAACATGTGAAACGTCGTGTTATAAAACCCGTTCTTTTCAGAACCGCACATGGGAGCAAATTAAGACTTTACTGTATCGACGTCTGAACCGTCTTAAAACCATCTTTAAAAGAACAAAATACCACAAGGGGGAAATTCCCCCCCCCCCCCTCCGCTGGATACGCCACTGCCTTGAAGTCTGAATTAATCTCGATCTGTTTTTGCTAGTAGGGGGGCCTACCATCCCGGATCAACACATTTCGCCATTTTACTCATTTTGGGCAGAACCAAAATTTTAATAGGATTGCAATGTGAAGCAACTCACGTTCTTCTACCAACAAAGGTATTAAAAAAAAAATCACATTTCAGATACAAATGATCACTCACAAAAAAAATCACATTCAACAATTATTTTTATGAGAGAATTGTTCTTTATCATGACCGTCCTTTCTAGAAATTGGTTGAATACAAAGCTTGAACAAAGTTAAATCGGCAGAAACAGAAACCTAAACTTGAGAAAGATTGAAGTTACAAAGAAGGAGCAAGTTGGGCTGGGTGACTAGAGTCGACTAGACTTAACCATAGTCGATCTAGATGGCACTCGAACGCTGCGTGGCTTGACTAGCTAGTCCAACTGGATCAACCTAGCCCAGGAGCACTGTTTCTCTAGTCAAATTCACCAGTTACGTCACAGTTTTTCAAGATGGTGGAAAGGGAAACTGGGGCAACTTTTGCAAACTTTTGTTATCACAGTTAACATTAACATTTAATGAGTAGTTTAACAATAAATTGTAGGTTTTGTTTTTATTTATTGCACTTAAGTTTAGTAGAGAAAAAAATATAGAGTAAAAAAATAATGACGTGCCAAGATTTGCTTCGTTTAACAGCGTGAAGGCCTGTTGTTGCTACACACTAATTATAATATTTTGACAAGTCGATCAACTATAGCGAAAAACAAACCACGCATGCACCCGAACTTGCTCATGATTGGTTTATTCATAAACATAAGTCATTGTCTCATTGAGTCATGAATAATAATCACTATGCACGCGTTTCTCTCTGTTACGTCATGAAACGCGCACTCTTTGCCCGTACGCGTGTTGTGTTGCGATGCCAGCGGCGCGCATACGGACGAGCGCGTGAGTAGCTCGCCGCGTTGACAAGACAAACATCACAAGTCTTGTCACAGCAGGACTGAAAAGCTAGCTGGGCGTGGATGTAAGCAAGACTGTTGACGACTGTGGGATGGGAGTAGAAGGCATTGGTGAGCAGTAACAACGTCTCCGTCCCACGAACTTTGAGGGAAAACGACAATGTCTCTGAAGCAAAGTAAGTCTGCATTTTCCAGATAAGTGCGTTGAGAAAAACCCTCTTTTTCGCAAAAAAAAAGGAGAAAAGCCTACTGATTCGTGCTCATGACCGTATCTTGTAACATGTTCCATTGCAGCACTGTTAGAAATCTTAGGCTTAATGAACTGTGTCAACATTCACTCAGATATTGCAACTGCTGTCCGGCAGTCCAGCCTGGCCAAATCCAACCGGATGGGGGAGCTCTTGCAACGATTTGAGAGCGGCGTGCCGTGCGGGACCCCGGACGACATCGACTTCCTCATCGATGAAATCGTGAAGCGAATCGAAAGGTAATGATTGTTCACAACCTATGTTTCATTACCCTTATTTGATATTTCCTGGACATCTCAGCTTTTCTAGAACGTTTAAATGTCTCATTTGATCAGTGTCTATTTAGGGTTATAACACTTTGGTAAAGCGTAAAAGAAAATCGAGGGCGAGTACTTCTCAGCTCTATGCACGACATGGTGGAAACGAGCATGTCTCATTTTGTTGCCCTTGCCATCCGCACTGCATCAAATCGTATATAAGTTAAAACGACACACGGAAACAGTAGTGTGCATTCGGACGAAAATTATTATAAAGAAAATACAAGGATGTGGTACTGATCTTTGCGTCAAACACTTCTGAAATTATTTTTTGCTTTGTTACAGGCGGTTGCTCTGCAGGCTAGCCCGGCTGTCCGAATTGGCACCTGATCAAGCCAGCGAGGGAGACGAACATACCAGAGCCGCTAAATTCCCAATACGACCGCGTCGTACTATAAGCGAGACGACTTTGCGACATGAAGCCCGCCTGATAGTCGACCAGGTCTTGAAGATTGTCATTCGACATCTCAAACTTGTCGGTCAGAAGAAAGCGAAGACGGGTGAGCGGACATCCAAACAGCCTGGAAGGGAAGTGGTAACTTCCACTGAGCACCGCGCATCGACAAGTAGGGATGGCGATACGAAAATAAGCCCGCAGATCGTCAAGCGGTACAATTACGTCAAGTCGAGCAAGCAAGCCGAGCCCAGACGCCTCAAGGAGATACAACCAACAGCAGAAGGTGTCGAAAACACCAAAGAGGCTCAGGCTTATCAACGACTTCCTCCCAGAGACGGCGATTCAGTGCGCACAGCCACAACCTATGCGCTAAGGAAAGCTGACAAGACCTCTCTTCGACGTTTCAGTGTGACCGGTAACGTCAATGCCCTCATGCTTGCCGGGGAGTGGGCAAAGGATGATGACAATATGGAAATCATCACTGAATCAAAACCAGCGAGTAAGACAGTCACTGCTCCAATCCATCAAGATGTCAAAATACTCCTTGCATCAAGTGGTGACTCTTCTGATGATCGGGTTCATCGTAAGGTTCCCTGTGATGATGCCCCAGAGGAATACAGATACGCACCTTTCACTCCACGAAAAGAACCGCCAAAGACAAGAGGAATAAACCAGTTCCTGAACTCCAGCTTCACTTACGCCAGGAGGGCTGAGATCAAGAAGTCCCTGCCGAAGTTTCTGGTGTCCAGGTCCCGCGAAGCCATGATGACCATGTTTAACGCGATCCGAGTTGCGATGGCCGAGGAAGAGATTGAAAACTTGGATTACGCTGGTGTCTTTGCTACTCTGATGGACCGGTCACTGGGCAAGAAGGACTTCCCTCAGCAAGCCACAACCTCCGACTCAAGGCCAAAGGCAATTTTCCGTCAGCAACCAGGCACAGAACGTTTATCGGAAAAGAAGACAGCGGCAAAACCACGTTATGATCACCGTCCCAATGGTAAAAATGTGCCTAGTTCGGCCGATGGCATATCCAGGGATCGCCTAAATGCCCGTCAGCAGAACTTCGGCACATTGGGAACCTACACGCTCCGTAAAGCAACCCGGTCCTGCCTCCGTCACATGATACAAAAAGGAAGCTCCTACAATGCCCTTCTCATGATGGCCTGCAATCTCAGGAATGGACAAACTGATGAGGAGTTCTGGGATGAAGCCCTGGATATGGATTTGGACGAGGCGACAAGGAAGGAAGTCATCTCTGACCTTGCAGAGCTGAGTCGACAAGCTCGTGACGGCACAGGCTTCTCAGATGATCCCAGGCAAACCTTTGATGATAGTTTAGAAAAGGAAAGCGTAGAAAGGAAGACAGTTGCCTTTGGAAAAGCACCACCTCGCAGTGAAACATCTGCAGATCAGCGTGACAATGTGTACAGCAGAGGTGGTGTCCGTCGTCAATCCAACACCAACTACATCTATGGCATGCACCGCGGCCTGAGACGCCTGCTGCCAAAGTTTACCGGTGGACGACCCTATTCTGCCTTGATGCACTACGCAGACAGCATGATAGCTGATGTGTACCAGGAGATGATTCGTACCGGACAGTTTATGCCTCTGACCACCCTCGCCAGTGCAACTGAGCCGAGAAAGATCAACGAGAAAGTAACCAGCGTGGGAGCCAGCTACACCAAGCCGGTACATGGTGATCGCTGGTCGGTTTCTACACAGACCGGCAAGAAGGTGGCAAAAACCAGCAATGAAGAGCTTTTCCACGATGCCTACTCTTGGATCGCCCAGGAAAGCAGGGACAAGTACGGCACAATGAGCGAGAAGCAGCGGTACAAGGAGCAAGTCCTCCCCACCAAGTCAGATGAAGACATACTGTACCGGCCCGTGGAAGACGTGGATGGGGGTAAGGAAGGATTTGCAAGGATTGCCTCCCAGCAAGGAACCACGGTGCCTGAGAAAAACGAAGAACCATTGGATGATGGAATCAATGAAAATCTTTGGCTGAGTGTTGAGGAGAACGATGCTGATGAAACCAAGCGTAGTGTGAGGTTTGCCGATGGAATCAACCCAGGGGAGACAGACAATGATAACCAGGATCAATCCTCGACATTCTTCCAGAAACTCGGCTACTACGAGCGGGTGGGCAGCGGCGAACTGCTGCACAAGAAGACGAAGCAACCAAAGCAGAAAGCTCAAAGTAAGGACGAAGAACCGTCAGAAATTTCCCAGGCCGGCTTGGAACAAGAAGAAGGCGACAATGACGAGATACAGCAACCGGAACGACCCCAAGAGAAAACGGAAGAGCGCCCTCTACCAGAAGAAGCGCCACAACAAACTGATGAGACGACGACAAAGCCTTCTTATTCACTGTGTAACTGCCTTTAATTATCGAAAACTCGGAATGAAACCCGCATGACTAAAAACAAAATAGAAAAAAACTAACAACCTGCAGTTTTAAAAATCAATCTTTCCAAATCGGCGGCATCTTGAATTTAGAAAAAGGTCATTAAAAATGAATCACAAGCCAGCGTCATGTTTTAGAGTAGTCTGTCAAAAAGATTATTATTATTAACGAGTAAAAATGTCTAACTTATACCAGCGATAACTTGTTTGTGCTTTGTTTATTTTGTAAAAACAAATGTGGCGATAAAGATTCAGAATAGCAAAACAAACATTTTCCCAAAAGAATTATTTCCACAGCTGTTCAACATCCACACTGGAGATCACTCGTAAGCAGAATAATTACACTATCATTTAACTTATCTAGTCCTATGTTTTAGGGGCATCAAAATTGAGATTGTGTTCACCTTTGATCGTCGTTGTATCAACATCTTCTTTTCTTTCTTTTTTAAATATTCAATAATTCAGCTTTCAGTGTTTCTTGACTCTACCAAGTCTATGGAGAATGTAGTTTAGCCTATGTTTATAATTATTATGTATTTGAACATTTCTAAAAATGTCTAGCAACAGACATTGTCCCTAAATATTAGTCATTACGTTTTAAAATTCATCATCATGGATTCATTGAAAAGAAATACGGAGGACGGCATTCACACATTAGAATTTCACCTATGTATGAGAAATTATAGAACCATTAATAAAATAAGATAGTTAAAGAACATTCGACTTTTTGAAATTTCGAGTTGGAAATTTGAAACGGAAATCCATAAAACATTCATGTTTTCAAATACATTAATTCGTGACAAAGAGTTTCTGTGTTGTAAAAAAAAACCACAAAAATGTATTGAAAGAGAATCTGATTAATTAAAGCGAAATTAATTGGTTGGCAAGGAGAGATTAAGAAGTAAAAAAAAAAAAAGGAAGTGCGCCCGATGTGGGGCTCGAACCCACGACCCTGGGATTAAGAGTCCCATGCTCTACCGACTGAGCTAACCGGGCATTAGCTGAGCATGGTAAGGAATCGTAGGTATATATAAATATAACAAGCTGCTCGTAACCTTGTACGTGGGAGTTCAACCAATAAAGGGGTGAAACATGAGGGGAGCTGGATGGCAATGGAACGAGGTTGCGGTCATACTAATAAGCGTCAAAATGCGTCAACACACACAGAAGCGTCAACACAGCGTCAACACCTCCAAAACGCATTGAAATTGACAAAACCAGTGTTCAAACCGTACGGTATGGGCAGAAATAAAATTTTGGCTCAAAATCAATAGGATAAACGTCTGAAAATTGTAATTTTTTGTCAAGAAAATTGGCTCTAAGTGCAGCGCCGAAATCGGCTGCCATCAGGTTGCTTCAGGGGCAGCGCAGACGATACCATTACGCAAAAGGGGTAATATCATTACACAATTAATCAACAGAGGGCGGTCGTTACGTGTGAATCCGTATACGACATGATAATTTCATTACCTCCACACCCATATCTGAAATGGTGGAGTGCAAGCTCGGTGCAAAGCAAGATGGCCGACAACGGCAGTGTTGCTTCGGATCATTTTTTCGCGTGAAAAAAACTCCATTTTCGTAAACGAAATGTAACCTCTGACCCACCAAAAATCTCTTTAAGACTAAACTTTAAAGTTCTATGCCTTTTTTGAAAATTTAGAATGCGTTTTGGCAGTGTTGACGGTGTGTTGACGCTTCTATCATGTGTTGACGCTTCTATCATGATCATGTGTTGACGCCTTGTTGACGCTGTGTTGACGCTTATTAGTACGACTCCGAGGTTGATGTCGGCGCGGCAAAAATACATACGAAAACATGTAACTTTGTAAGCGACTTAGTCCTACAGCAACTTAGCAAGGAAAGGTGTTGAAGCTGTGTCCGATATCACTTGCGCACGGAACCCCGAAATTCAACCTGTTCCTACTTCTTCTAGTCGGTAGGTTACCACTTTCATTTGGTGAAGCTGAAAAAAACTGCGGCTATCAATGTATCTTACCCTGTGTCAGTATTTCAAGGAGTTACTTAAGTTGGTGCCCAGATTCCGGACAAATTAGGCCATGGCCTAACAAAATAAGGAAAAAATTCCATACTGGGCCACCACTCATATTCCTTAATAAAATATAATAGGGCCTAATAATATGACCTGAAAAGTACCAAAAGTTGTAAATCTGAAGAAGAAACACTGTTTAACATGTTTAAGGAGTGCAAACATTCTTTGATAATACTTTAGTTTAAACTGTTCTGTCATCATGGCCCATAGACTTTGTGCAGGAGCTCTGAGTGGTGGCCCAGTATGGATTTTTTTCCGCGCACGGAACCCCGAAATTCAACCTGTTCCTACTTCTTCTAGTCGGTAGGTTACCACTTTCATTTGGTGAAGCTGAAAAAAACTGCGGCTATCAATGTATCTTACCCTGCATGCCCTGTGTCAGTATTTCAAGGAGTTACTTAAGTTGGTGCCCAGATTCCGGACAAATTAGGCCATGGCCTAACAAAATAAGGAAAAAATTCCATTTTTATTAAGGAATATGACTTTATGAGTGGTGGCCCAGTATGGATTTTTTCCCCCCGCTAATAGCTCCATGGGTGTGTTGGTTTGAGCATGATGATGAGGTTTCTTTTGAAAAAAAGTTTTGAAACTAAAGTAAAGAACTGGAAAGAATTTTCCGACACCACATTTTTCTTCATACTGCCTATATCATCTCAATAAACATGATAAAGGTCATTCATTGCAAAAATGTTGAAAAGACATGAATCTGGGACTGAATAACATTTCCAATTTTATTAGGAAATACTGAACATTTCGCGTTATTAAAAATAGATCCATTTCCTCAACGTGAGTCGGCAATTTGATATCTTATATATAGGCCTACTTCAGTACGTGCATGAGGGTGCCATACGATCTGCAGGCTTAAGAACAGATAAAAAAAGTGGGTCCGGTTCACGGCTATTTAAACACTTTGAAAAACAATGTATTGCAAATGTTTGATTTAAAAAAGAAAAGAAAAAAAAGAGGCAGCCGGCAAAAAAGGAAGCAGGATGGGGACGAGAAACTGGTTTATTTTGTTACTTGGCCTAAGGTCTATTGACAATCTATTCTCATCCTGATGCTGCTTTAGAAAAAAAAATCACAGATTGCAATAAGCCTATGCTATGTAAATCCCTGATTAGAGCTGATTGGGCCCTGTCAATCCAAACGTCCAAACATTGCAACATCTTAATCTAACACTATACTTGTGATTTGGGTTTTCTTTAAGAATGGCCTGTCAGTAAGAAACAAAATAAAAGATGGCGCAAACCTCTAGTGGAGTTGATCCGGAGATGCTGAACAAGATGGGCGTTCATCTCAAGTCCCAGGGCATCTTTGATCAATTCCGACGTGACTGCTTGGAAGATGTGGACACAAAGGTCAGTGCAGCCCTTAATGATTGTTGGGCATGATCGTTGGATCTGGGCTATCACTCAAGCGCTCAAGGAATGCACCTGTGCGATCGGTCGATCCTGTAGGAAACCTCAGACTTTCCTCCCCTTTTTCAAAACAATCCTCAAGAGCTGTGAATTAGAAAGAAAAGGTGATCGACTGATGGCGGGGCAAACGACAAATGGCGGTACGATTGACCAATGGCGCAGTGCGATCGACCAATGGCGCAGCGCGATCGACCGATCACGCAGATTGCGCACAACATGATCACATTCGTTCTGTTTTGTATGGGATTTCAATATTGGGTTTTGCCCTTCACCGATGTATTTTATAAACACTATATACCCAGCCTGTGCTGGGTCAATTTCACGGTGCTGGTAAGCACAAACATTTGCTTAGCACAAAAAATTCTGGCTTGTAAAAGCAGGTTACCAGCCAAAACTGGTTTTGTCTGAACTAGTGTTGCTCTCAGTAGCTGCCTCAAGGTAGTGAGTGCACTCTGTTACTTGACCCATGAGAGTGACCCACACAGCAGGCTGGACAGGTATCACCTAGAAACCATATATTCTTGACAGTAGTACATGGATAAGTGGATTCAGAAGCTTAAACCATTAGTCCTTGAAACGCCCCAAACTTCCCTGCCTATTACTCACTGTAGTGGCCCAAACCACCCTGCCTGTAACTCGCTGTAGTGGCCGAAACTGCCTTAGCCCTGTACTCTATGGTTGTATGGATTCTTCAGTGAATAAATACAATGTAGTACAGATGTTAATTGGGTCACTATGTTTCTTGTTAATCATATTTTCCCTTGCAGCCTGCCTACCAGAATCTGCGGCAGAAAGTCGAGAGTTACGTCTCGGCGTTTCTGGCCAAGGTCAAATGGGAGCCCAAAATGAACAAGAACCAGTTACGTGACAGCCTGCGCAGGCAAATAAACCAGTAAGTTGTTGGACAAGATGTTGAGTATACCAGCCATGTGTTGGCATAGTTTTGTGAGTTTAGAAAATATTAAAACAGTGCAGCTCAACAGGATCATTCCTTTGCAAGATAATGATTGGAGACGTTTAGTTGAAGGGTTTTATTGTATAGACTCGTTGCACTACTGGTTACCGGGAGAGAGTTTGGAGGGAATCTTGAATGCACTGCCCTTTATATCTCGCCCAGTAACATTGAGCTGCTAAGCACACTATTTCACAGAGAGTGTAAGCAGTAATCAAAACAAGAGGCATGCTAACCTCAGAATAAAAATTTGCGTGAAGACAAAAAAATGCACAACCTTGCATTATATTCACGCCCTGAAATTGTGCTTGAGGTTCGCCCTATTTTCTGCATTAGTCATCATATTTTTTTCTGCAAATTATTAGAGCAGTGCCATGAAATGGGCCCGTGGGACTCAGGCCGAGGTGATATAGATTTGTAAACAATCAGAAAAAAAATTTGCCTTGCGCACTTTCTCGTCACGAATGCAAACCAATGTGTAAACACACACACATACACATGCGAAATTATGTTCACCATTGATTGTGGACGTCCTATTGTCCCTCTTTTGTTTGTACTCTATCTTTTTAGGAAGACTCCCGTAGGTTTTGTACACGACCGCAATCGCGGACGTATGCTGGGAATCGTGGACGATATTGTTCTCTTTTGTTCTCTGGTATTTTTCGTCCACGGTTTGAAAAGATGAACATGTACAATGTATACCACACAGTGAGCTCTCACCAGCGCTCACAAAGCACCATCTATTCACAGAGTCTGTGGTGCACCTAAAACCCTGTTCCCCTGAAGTCTTTAAGCATAGACAGTTTGCCATTGCTTTACTGTTCAGAGTTTGATTCAGCTGGATTTGGAAAGTCTTCCTATTGCAAATGCTATTGAGTTACAAGTAGGGTTAAAGTTGAAAGTTTGACCTTTTCTGTCCGTGGTTTGCGTATGCCTACAGATCCGAGATGTTGTCTGCAGGCGTGGAACGAATCATTGAGCAGGTGATTGAACCCAAGATGCAGCACGTATTCAGACCACAGATTGAGAAGGTAAATGCTATCTCGGTTATTGTCAGTTTAGTGCTGATGGGGCCACGTCTTGTCTCATGTGAATTGTGAGATTTGTGGAATCGCTGCGCAAGTTGTGATGACAAAGAGAGGAATGGCAGACAATTGGTCTCCATTGCTGTTGTGCACCAGTCGTGCGAAGACACTAGAGGTTTTTGCACATTCAGATAAAACTTAGTCATATGTACTTCCTGCCGTATATGCAGGAAGCAGTGTGCGTGGAGTGCTGTGGCCTCGTGGTTAAGGGCACTGGATTCGTGGTCTGGGGGTAAAGCTGCGGGTTGTGGGTTCGAGTCCAGCCGGGGTCATGGTGCGTGTGCCCTTGAGCAAGGCATGTTGTCACTCATTGCTTCTCTCCACCCAGGAGTAAATGGGTACCTGTGAGGGCAGAGATGGTTATTGTGATTGATTTAGCTTGCTTGCGCCTAACAGGCAGCATCCAGCTGTATACTCCCCAGAAAGCTGAAATGGTATTTGGAATGTTTAATTGGCCCAATGATCAGGGGTAATAATAATACTGTAAGCGCTGTGATTTAGTTTACTAATAAGAGCATTCTTAAAAGTTCTTAAATGCCGATTATTATTATTATTATTATTGTTATACAGTATGCCCCGTACACTAGTGTTTTTATGAGAGGGTCCTTGTGGGCGGTACCCACACAAGCACATAACAATGGTACCCCGCAAGTCGATCTTTGTCTGATGGTACCCCACGAGAGAACTTCAGCAGAAGAGGGATAAGAAGAAAACAATATCAGTACCTCATAAAACCCCATCCACCAGGTCGTGTGCTCCCCTGAGTGGCCACACGGTGCTGTAGACTGTTTTTGCACGGCATCCACAGCTTCCTACCAGTATCCATTGTGGACACCACAGGCTCTGTGCACTGCATTCTTAGAGAGACCCTGAATGGATATACATTTTCTGTTTTTTCTTCCAATGCCAATGCTCAGGTTGTGGATGAATTCCTTGATCCCAAGGGAAACAAGGATGCAGAGAGTGTCAAGAAAGACCTGGCCACAACCTCTGGATGGCAAGGTAAGGGATCCTCATGACTGAAATTTTGGACCTTTCAGTAGTCTTCCAAACCCAAAATTCACTGAAGGTACTCCGGAAAAAATTGGGTTTATGAACCATTTGTTTTTAACTTTTTTAAATTATTTACAGTAATTAGCTGGAATTAGACGGAATTAGACCTCTCCTGCAGGTGAAAGTTTGATCAACAAATTGGATTGCCTTTTGCATTGAGTTAAGAATGACTTACCTTGCTGTAATGGAAATCGTTGGAATTTGTTATTGACCTCCAGGTGTGTCACAGCAGATCACACCACCTGCACCCCCAGATCTTCCGCCGGAGGTTCCAATCCCTGCCCCACCACTACCCCCTTCAGAGCCCCCAGCAGCGCCCCCTGAGGCACCTCCTGAAGCACCCCCAGACTCGCCTCCGGACGAGCCAGCCACATCAACCCCGAGTCAGCAAGACCCTGCGAAGGGCTTGCAACCGGGAACCTCGCCAACTGCTTCATCCGGAGGCAATACACCTTCCTCCGCAACCAGCAAGGGGCACGAAACCCCCGGCTTAGTGAAAAAGCAGCCAGGAGGGGTGACCCAAGTGACAGCCGAAGTCAAAGGGGAAAAGAAACCAGTCAGCGAGCCTTCAAGTGAGGTCAAACCGGCTGTGCCTGGCAAATCTCTGAACGTCAAAAGCGAACCAGTTAAAAATCAACCTGGAAAACCTCAGCCTGTCAAAGACCAAGAGGCAAAGAAAGTAACAACAAAAGACCAGGTCGTCAAGATGCAACCTTCGAAAGTGATCAAGAAAGTTCCTTCAGGATCTAAACTTGTCGAAATCGTCAAAACTCCTGACAAACCAAAACTAAGTATTCCTAGTAAGTCCTCTGCCTCAAAACCAAAATCGCCAGAAGATTCCAAGAAACTTGATGACAGGCCAAACCCCCAAGTAGCAGTCAAGAAGTCCACCCAGGATTTGGTAACAATGCTTCCACTGACGTCGGATGTGGTGAGGTCATTCATCTCCGCCAACTCCTCTGTTGTAATAATCACCCCAGAAGCCACCACGAGCACTAGCAAGTCAAGGGACACGGATTCCTTACAGTCACAGACCAAGGCAGTCATCAGCAGTCAGTTCATCCGAGAGGAGCAACACAGTTGGAGTCCCCTATCCATACCTGATGCACTGGCCTCCTCAAGCCTGGACATGGATCAGGCTGATCCGAGCATGGACCTGGAGATTGCTGACAGGGAGTCGGATGGAGAGAGCGGCCTGTCTGATATATCAGTCAGCTCTGTCCACACCAGTGATCTGTCGTCGTTTGATGAGGACATCAGCTCTTCTTCTTCGAGTTCCAGCACCGATTCCAGTAGTGAGGAGGAGGAAACCACTAAACCCAAACGAGTTTCACCTAAAAAGAGTAAGGCATTTGTTCACTATTAAGTTGGCTTATACTATAAGAGGGGATTCATTTTTGTACATTTTTATGATGGCATAACGATCAGTGCCACTATTGAATGACATTTTATAATTGGCATTATGAAATTAACTTCGCTTTTAATAGCTTTTTGCGAAAAGTTTGAACCAGGCATCAGACTCACATGATGACCCGAACACAGTTATTATCACAAATGCACAGCAGCAGGTGTTCAAGTACCACAATTAGATAATGCTATGATGATGAATCAAAAACTAGAGTAGAAAATCGACTTATTGAACTAGCAAGGCATATTCACATGAAGAATAACCCATAAGCACTAAAAAAAAAAATAATATGTGTACCACAAAAGTCATTCACTCCTGAATAGGTCATGCAAAGAATTTCAAAATAAAGAAGCTTTATTTTACATAGAATACATTTCGTTTCAAAGGAAAACAATATTTTGGATTACATTTGATTGCATCATCTGCTCTCTTCTGCTGTTTTCAGAGCTCCAGTGCATTCTGTAAAACAGCAGTAACAGTGTGTTGATAATCCAGGATGTTTTTGAGGGAACTTGTACAAGTAACCAACTGACGACTTTAAGACACTTTGAGGACTAACTGGCTAAAAGAATTACACATACAACAATGGATGAGTCAGTCAGTCTCACTAGATCGAATCTCCTCATCTTGTCTTTTCTTTTCCCAGAAAAGCCGAGCTCCGTTGTGTACCCTTCCGACAGCGACTCGGAGGTCCCCTCGGAAGTGACCATCAGCACGGACACCAGCAGGCCTGCCTCTGTAGCCTCGGACAAACCCTCAGCCAAGAGGTCCCCAAGATTGCAGGCCGCCAAACCCAGGGCTCTGGCGATCAGCCGTTACCATGGAGACAGCGAGGACGAGGACTCGCGTCAAGAGAGGAGAAAGAAGGCAGTGAGTTGAAGTTATCCCCAAACCAAATGTGTGCTTGGGTAGATTGGGGCGATATAAGGAATAACAGGCAGGACGGTTTTAGGGCGGTACAGGAACGGTTTACATGCTCAGTAGAATGAACATGAGAGCAACATAAATCATTGGTGAACCAGCAGTTGATTTGTGACCTTAAATGTTGTGAGCTAATATTAAAGTTGGAATGTGTGAAGTTGAATGATGACCAAACAATGTTCATCACCAAACTGCATGGTCCTGGCTCCTTGCTGTGCATTATGATGTTCACAGCTATCGGTAACCAGCAGTGTGGTACACATTGGTCAGCTGGCTCTAGACTAGTCCAACAAGTCATTGACTAGCATTCATTTGGAATTAGCATTCGATCAGAAATATAGGTTTACCAAACTTCGCGATCAAACTTTACTCAGAAATAATCCACAAGCAACCGTTACAACAAACATGAAGGGTAAGAGTATAATCAGTGCTGTTTAAAAAATGGGGCAGTGGTCGTCGATTCATGTCACACTTCTTTCTCTTCGCCAGGCTTTGGCTAAGGAGGAGAGAGCTCGGCGGCGGCAGTTGGCCAAAGAAGAGAGAGAAAAAGCTTTTGCTGAAAAACGGGAGAAGAGGACTCTAGATTCGGAAACAACTGATGGTATGTCGTAGCTCTGAACACCCTTGTCCTTTTTTAAAAAAAAAGTTTCAAAGCAGTATAAAGATTACTTTAATCATTTGCTCATTCAGTTTTACTCTACATGGGAGTTGCTCTATAGTGGATTTTGAAAGACAGGAAGATTCCTGGCTAAAGTGCTATGGGGTGTTAGGGTTGAGATTATAGAGGCAGATTGTAAATTGGGTGTATTTAGCGATAATTTGAACTTCTGCTTTTTGCTGTCTACTAAGAACATCCGTGGCTCTTACCAAAACAAAAAAACCAGTTGAATACATATTCAAAGTAAGGTTTCCAAGTTGTATGGCAAACCTTTATAATTCATTGCAGATTGTTCCGATTCTTTAAGAAAAAACAAGCAACCCAGTACTTTTAAAGTACCTATATGTTGGCCCCCAAAATAAATGGTTTAAACATAGCGCAATTTGAAATCTTTTGTGTAATTCCTCAACGTTACAAAAAAAATTGGGTATTATTTATTTGTTTATTTATTTTTATTTTTTGACAAACTTGATGAGAAGACTCAAGTGAGGCCAAGAAGACGCTTCGCAGGGAGGAGGCGGCGACAGCCTCGCCACTCAAAGCCACCAAGGAGCAGCTGAAGGAGCAGAAGATGCTGGAGAAGAAACGAGAGGTCCGGCGGAGACGCTCGCTCAACAAACGCTACTTTTCCGACGAGTTCTCCTCATCAATGCAAGGGATGAAAGTAAGTCCACGCCAATAGGTTGCGAGATGAGAATAGTGAAGGGTAGTCCTTGCTAGCAGCGTTTGCTATCGGTTTATTGGGGATGCCTCTCTGTATACAGTGTAATACTGGAGCTGATGGGGTAGAATACATCATTTGCAGCTATCCAAAAAGTAACCGACCGAATTACTGTTCAATCCTTACTTGGTTTAAAGTGAAATTAGTCCCAGTGAAATTAGTCCTTCTGGCATGCTGTCATTTTGAAGAAAACAACAAAAGAAGGTCTTTTCTGAAGATGCGTCTAAAGACGCATTTTTGGAAATTTCCGTAAGTCGTTCGTTTTTTTGAATGCATGTGCGAAGCTATGACACGACACACGCGCGTGTGGTTGCTATAATTCGTTGGTTCAGAGCGTGACATCGCGTAGCTGCAATCAGCTGAATAAGAACGTGTCCCGGACGCAGATTTCAGGTGCAATTCAAAACACGACTTGGCAACTTTTGAATTGAAATCGAGATCCTTGAATATTGTTTTCTCAAAATTTACAGCATTCATTGAGCTTAAGTTTCATCAGGTTAGGTACATGTATTTAGCATCTGTCTAGATTTTCAGCACTTTTGTTGTTTCAAACGAACATAAGCCGCAAATTACAAATGATGTACTCTACCTTCAACATAACAGGTGTTTGGATTTGGCAAATCCAAAACTGGCTTCAAATTTAAATGTTTAAGAAAACTTAGGAGAAGGAGCTTTGGGCAATGGGTTTCAGGTCACCCAGCATGTTAAATGCTGAACAGGATACAATACGTGCCCTCTGTAAGATAATGTGTAAGTAATTTGCTGTAAAATTATAAAACACCAAAACCGTGTTTATTTGTCAACTAAGGGAAATTCTGTGACCATTTCTGGAAGAAGTCGACCCAAGTCACTTACAAATATACATTCTGTTTAACAACATCTGTTGTTTATGAATTGCTTGTTTGCATATTCAGTGGTCAAATTCTGAGATTTTAAAATGCATACTCTTAAAATGGAACACAACACTTTCCATTCCAATTATTGTGTTCGTGTTTACTTTAAATATTTCCTACACGATTCAGTTCTTGTAAAATGAAATTGTAACAATTGTTGTACGACATTTTTGTGTGTGACTGATGTCACTTTATTTCCAGAGCAGGTCACAGCTCATACCAACAACTTAACGCCAAGTGTGCAATTAGGTAAAACTTACACAAAAATAGTCTCATCAGTTTCAAATTTACCTTGGTATGAAGGGTTTTTTAAATATTTTTGGTGGTGATTTAAGCTCTTTTCTATCCACACTCTCATGATGATTTCCTTCAGATTTCTTTGGGTGGTGGACCATATTTGAAAAATGTTGTTTTTTGTTTAGCTTTGCATGTTGGGTGACTGAAATCAATAAGGGATTTTGATGATATCATGTCAATTGATATACCCAGTGTGTATTAGGCACAAGGAATAGTTACAACCCAAACAATTATTCGTCGCGTCAGTGCAACAAGGTCGTAACTCGCAATCTACTCGTCTCGAATAATTCCCATTTCAAAGTTTTGTGTAAAGTTGTCTTTGATATGAAATACGTAGACTATATTATATTCTACATGTTTCATATCAAAGAAAAAATTATGTTGTGCCACAAAATTTAAAATGAACATTATTTGAGGTGAGTGAAATCCGAGTTATGACCTTGTTGCACTGACGCGACTTATTGTACGTTCAGGGGAGTCAGGCTGGCGTAGCGGTACTTTCCTCGCCTTCCACCGCTGTGATCCGGGTTCGATTCCTGCCTGGGCCAAAGTGTGGATTGGGCTTTCAGTCCCTACTTGATTCTGTGGGTTTTTCTCAGAATATACTTCTGGGGTTTTCCTCCCACATCTAAAACTTTAATTTCTTCACATTGTCTTCTCTTTACTGGGCCCCATGGGAGATCAGTGGATTCCACTGAATGGGTTACCCAGTTAAAAAAAATAATACTTTTCAGAAGTTTAAAAAAACAAACCAAAACAAAACACAAACAAAACCTAGGTTTCTTGATAAATTCTCATTATGATAGGAGTATTAACAAAACAGCTCTGAAAGTTTGTACTCATGTCGTTTGCATGTCTACACCCTCTTCAGCCTTTCTCAGTGGGCTTCCTCTATTCCCATTTTCTTCAATGAGATTTCATTTTTGTTGTAGGAAACAGTTACAAGTTTTCGCACTTAATTTGTGAAGTTCATGATGTTCATTTTACAATCATTAAGTAACCTTCATCAAAATCCCGTACATCTGTTGGCAGTTGATTTGTTTGTTCTGAAAGCCACTACGTCATTAACAGATTTTTTGTGTGTGTAGACTGGTCTAGGGCGAATTCTTTTATTGAATTCTCCAAAGTTTAAAACTCAAATTCAATCATTCATTGGTGATGCCTGGGTGAATTGTACACGTGAAAAGGTGTACATGTGGATGGAATTGATTGCTCACCTGCAGTGATTCTAATAATTAGGTTTTTACTTTCCTGTCAAACTCAAATTCAACATACTTGTCCTGCATGAATCAAAATTATCAAACCATCATGTGATAAGCAAAAAATATTTCACGGATATTTTCTAACTACGTTGTTAATTTCATCTTGTCCGTGCAACAAGGTCATATCTCCTAAAATGGGCCGTACGTGAAATGCGAGTTTCCGAATGTCAAAAGGTTGTATCTCACTTAAACTAACCCGGATGTACACACAAAGTCAATGGACGTCCAGATATGACTTTGTTCCATGGAACATATTCGTGCAAGATACGACTTTGTTGAAGAATGGAGTTACGACCTTGTTCCACTAACGCGATGATTTCATTGTTTTTCTCTCTTTTTATTTTCCAAAGGAGACGGTATCTCAACAAGAAGATGATGACGCGATGCAGCAAGAGGAGGCAAAGCAGCCAGAGGTGATCCCCCTGAGAGCATTCATCCGCAAGGAGAAGCTTCAGTGCTTCCACCTGATCTACCGTGAGCGCCGGGAGCCCCAGGTCCGATGCCACCACCTGCTCACCCAGGGGCTGAGCGGCGAACAACAGAGAAAGCTGAGCACTCGCAAGCGGAAGGAGAGGAGAGACTCCAAGGTTTCCAGGTTCGCCTTTGCTCAAGCCAAGGCGGTGGCTGGTGCCTCCGGCGAAAGAAGCAGTATGCCACGTTCACAGCCACAGCCAGCCAAAGACCAGAAGATTCCAGAGCAGGAGCAACAAGAAGAGCAACAACAGCCACAGGAAGAGACGGAGCAGCAGGCGATAACTAGAGATGTCCAGGAAGATTCTGAGAAACTACCAAGAGAGGAGGAGTCTAATATGCCACAGGGGGGCCAGGAACCAGAGTCAGTCCAAGAACCAGAGTCAGCCCAAGAACCAGAGTCAGTCCAAGAGCCAGAGTCAGTCCAAGAGCCAGAGTCAGTTCAAGAACCAGAGTCAGTCCAAGAACCAGAGCCAGTCCAAGAACCAGAGCCAGTCCAAGAACCTGAGTTAGTTCAAGAACCAGTGTCAGTTCAAGACCCAATGAAGGAGCACCAGCAGATGGAAGATGTTCAGTCATCTGTTGTTGAACAAGACCCTTGCTCTGTGGAAGAGAAAGGGAAGTTGGTTGAGGAGGCTGTGGAAGAAAAGGCCAAGACTGAAGAAGCAGTTCTGCTCGAGGAAAATCATGACAGGGTACAGCCAGAAGAGCTACAGCAGGATGTAGACGAAACTGTGCAGGATTTGGGACTAAAGGAGGGAGCAGAAATGCAACAGGGAGGAGAAGAAAAGGATGAAAGAATTAACAACCCGGATGAGAAACAGGAGCAGGTTAAAGCTGAAGAAGAGGAGCTTCCAAGTAGCGAACAGGGTTCTGGGCCGGAGGCTGAGAAATTGGTAGAGGAGTCCGGGATGCAGGAAGTTCAGGACCAGGAGGTAACTCATGAAGAGCAGAAAATCCAGGAAGAGTTGCTAGGGGATACAACCAAGACGGATCATCCTGAGGAACAGACATGCGGTAAAACAGCATCACGAGAAATAATTGAGCCCTCACTGAGGGATGCTACCGCTGTTGAGCAAGCAGCAAAAGCTCAACAAATTGTGACAGCAGACGAAGCAGGGTCAGCAGTTACCATGGAACCAGCAGTTACCGTGGAACCAGCAGTAACCGTGGTGACACCAAGTGAGGACATCGACAACCCACCAACTCCCACTCAGGATGAGCCATCAATTTACTCAGATGCAGATTCAGAGTCTGAAGAGCACAGCGACAAAGGATCATCCATCCCTATATACACAGTGCACAGCCCAAAGCACCTGCCTCTCGGGTCCGTTTTCAAGCTCAGTCAGACATCCCTGCAGGACATCAAGCCTGCTGGGGTACAAGCAGGAACAAGAACCCTGTCTAGAGACAGTGATGCCTCTGTACCTGATGACACTGAAAAACTTGGGGAGACTAGCTACAAGCGTGAGGATAGCCTTGAGAGTAACACGGACAGTGACAAACAAGACAAACCAATCAGCAGTGAGTCAAGACCCCAAGATAAGCCAATCAGTAGTGAGACTTCAGAGTCATCCCCGCCCGAGAGCCGCTATGGGACCCGCCCTAAGCGTCACGCCACCTCTCCCCGTGACTCACTAGATGATGACTACTTTTACTACGGCCAGTCTAAACGCGGCCGCTACTCGCAGTCGCCCATCTCCCATCAGGAAGAGGGGGATAAAGCTGGACGCTCCAGGTCAAGGAGGGTATCGACTGACAGCGGTAAATCAGATGGCCCTAGCCGTGAGGCTGCTGACAGACCCACAAGGGCTTCCCGTCAGAGGCACGTCTCCCCACCCCGACGTTACTCCCCCAGCGACACCAGGACATCTTACAGGAGGTCATCTACTTCATCACCCCACCCTCCTCCTGCCCCAACTCCGCCCACGAAGCAGACAAGGCGTGGCTCTTCACCATCCTCCCATGAGCACTTTACAAGACGTTCCTCCGGTCGAGATGAGGCCAAACGGGGCAACCGATACTCGGACATGTATTACTATAATGACCGTGGGTCGCGTAGCCAAACACCAAGCAGGGGAGGGGATAGAGGAAGGGCTCCTGAACCAGCCAGTAGCCGTCGAGGGTCCAGACGCTCCGTGGATGAAAGGTCAGGTAATCAACCTCCTACAAAAAGACGAAAGTAGGTAGCTTTCCAGGCAAACCATTTGTTTCTGAAATGTGGTGTTTATTGTGCTTAAAAAGCAAACAGTTATAATTTCTGTATGCGTTAATTCAATATTACAAACGCAAAAGCAAAAGAAAGTGAAAATATTTTTAAATTATTTTTGAAAGGTTATTCACAATTAGCACTTCACGTGTGATGCCAATCATAACAGGTCAAATGTTTTTTTGAATGCTTGCAGACACTTTGATTAATAGTTTACTTGCATGGCGAAATGTAACCAAGAGTGGTCAAATATCTTATGCCTGTTATTTTCCTTTTTAAGAAGTTTCACGCACAACTTACAAGCGCACACGAAACATTGCTTTGAAGAGTTTCAAAACCTTGATTGTTTTTCATGCGCTGGCAAGATATCTCACAAGTCGGAAAAAAAAAAATTCCATGATCGGTTCTCTTTTCAATACTTTTCTACCTCTTTGGTTTCCATCATCAAGGTACGTATATTAAGGTCAGTAAATATTAAAATTTAGAGGGCCTGACATTTTTATTCCAAAATAATATTTCCCAAAGGCAGGAAATTTTGCTTAAAAAAAAAGATCCACTTATGATTACAATGTCAGAAACACTTGCCCTTTTACGACTTTAAATTGTTAAGGTCAATCCAGTCGGCAGTTTGAAGCAGCCTGTTTATTTCTCATATTGCTCTGTAAATATTGCTCGGAGTTTAAAGGTCCAGAATGCTGTTGTCCTGGTATTAAGCAAGATGTTACATGATGATATTGGCATGTGGCGTGTATTCAGTGTGTGCATGTACGTGGATAATGTGGACAAATCGTTTAAAAAAACATGACTCTTCATATAGAAAAGTGTAGGAAAATGCATCCATTGCGCTTAATATCATTCTGGTGGGATAATTTAAGTAATGTATTATATCATGGCAGCGTAAATTATGATCAATTATGCACATTGCCAATTTTATTTTATTTAAGAACATATTCATTTCCACTACCGTATTACAATGTTTGTGTAATTATCCATTTATGGATTATTTTATTTTTTACAAACGGTTAGAGTTTATAATCTGAAAAGCATGAGTTTTGGTACTTTTCTGTTGCATCAAGTTTAAAGAGATTTCCCAAAACATCTTCATTGAAATGATGTTTCCTTTTCTTTTCGCAACACCAGATCAGATTCTTTGTACATTTGATCAAAAGAAACGTACATGTGTTGCTAGAAAACCAAAGTTGGAAGACTTTTGGGGTAAGAAGTAGCACCGGTATTGTAAAGTTGAGATGTAACTATGTTGTAGTTTTTTATCATCTGCATTTAAACAAAATGCATAATATATTTTAAAGTCTCTCTGTACCTTGCCAAGAGGGTTTCGAGTGGTGCTTCGTCATTTGGTTACTGAACACAAAAATACATGTATGTTTAAATTATACCAAATTTTTCATGATAAATGCAAGTACTGCTTGTTGCCTTGGCCCAATTTCATGGCACTGCTAACTGCTAAGCACACAATTTTCTGCCAACAGAGCCTCTATGTCTTGGAGACGGTAAGCAGTAAGCACAGCACGCTTACCTCAAAGGAAAAAGGTGCTTAAATCAGTGACGCTACAGTGAAAATCTGCATGCACATCACATCACGCCATGAAAAAGTGCTTAAGGTGAGCACAATTTTCTGCTATAGTAAGCACAACTTTTCTGCTTACCGTTTCAGGGCCATGAAAGCGGTCCCTGGAGTGAAGCATGTTTCATGGATATACACTTTGCATTAACATGTTATAAGCAGGGCGAAGTTACATGTGATGCATATTAAGTAAGACTACAAGGTTTTTGTGTGTGCTCAAAATGGTAATTTCCTAAACACTACTTTCTACCTGGTAGCCACATGAAACTGTGCCGAGTCAGTAGTGGCTATTAAGTAATTACACAAATTATGTTTGCTAAAAAAATTAAGCTTAGGATTTATTCTCTTGAAAATCCCCAAGTATTCTGAAATGCACATTTTTGTGTTCATGTATAAGGTGATTTGTAGTAAATGTACAAGCAGCAAAGAGGCAGTGTGTTTCATGTATTCAACAGGTTTATTTAATAAAATACATGTAGCATGAAAATAATCTACCTTTCGAAACGCTACTTCTACGGTGTCAATACATGTACTTATTCTGTGAACACTTGGGTATTCAGCATTTATCCAGTGGTGGCGGACATTTTGAAAATGGTTGTTCTATATTAGGGCTGATAACTGACCGTATTGACCATTTTCTTTTTATATAACTTTTTTTTCCGTATAATATAACATTTACATACATCCTATAATTCTGTGTAACTAAATCATTTTACTCCTTTAAAATGAATAACATAAATTGACGAAAATTGCATTTGTATAGTGACATAATTTAAAAATCATCAAACAACGGCGCATAACACACCAATGAATAAATATCATTCGTCTTAAAACAATCATAAAGTAATGCCATTTGTTCATAAAACATATCACCAAATAAGACTCGATTATGACACCCCATGCCTTAATGTAACACAAAATCAGCACAGAACAATAGTACAGTATTAGATATGACATTTATTCCAGTTTCTTTGCCTGATTATGCCCAGGCGAAAACAGAATTAAGCAAATCCTTAATATTTTTTTTTTTGATGTTCAATTCCAGCGTTACGTAATATCCCTGACAGAGCTCGTAGAGACCTCAGTAAATAAACCTAACAAGATATTTTCAATTCTTATACACTGTATATCCATCATCTAGTAATGGTCAAGGAGATTACAGACTTGGAGTTGTAGGTCATTTTTCTGAATCGTTAATTAGATATCATAATTGGCTCTGTCACGGACATTACACTGCCTTTCATAATGCTGTAATTGCCCTGAAAAAGCAGGAGCACCAATAACACATACTAGAGCAAAACAAAAAAAACAACCAAAAACAAAACAGTAATACAATAAACTTTGTTCTATTTGACAGCTACAAATATGAATTTTATTAAAGGTTTTTATTAAAATAATGATAACTGGATATAGGAAATCTATTTGTTCAAAATGGATAACAATCTTTTATTGTTTCAAGGTGATGGTAAAAAAAAGGTCTTTGGTCAAAGAGCTACCAGGACGGAAGATAAGCCTTTAAAGTTGTACATGTAAACCCTTTCCCCACTCACTTAAGTCAATAATATAAATAGAATAAATTTAAAATAGTTAGGAATCAATAAAAAAGCAACCATTTCAATCATACATTAACATGATAGTTGCTAGATGTAGTAAACTTGGATCATAATTCATGCATTAATTTTAAAATTGTTTGTTTGTTGTATATGTACATATGTAAACTAACACATCTTTGTATGTAGCATACAACATTTCACAGGCAGTAAATATATCCTCAATTTTGGTATACATGTCTATGTATACTGGTTATTGTCAACAGTTGTTGACTGCTGTGATGTGAAACATGGTGTCAAAAATATGGGGTGAAATCAGTCAAAATTATTGATATTTTTTCGACGATTTGTGCCCAAATCTTTAAAATCTTGGGTGTTGGAATATAAATTGAGGCTCCTCTTGCATCCCAAGGAATTTCTGCCTTGTTTGGGAAAAAATCAATTTTTGGCAAAATTTTGATCAAAATGTAAGGTTAACCCCTTACATTTTTGTCAATTTTGGCCAAAAAATTAACTTGCTTGAAACTTCCTGGAAAGATGCCTAAGGGGCCCTCGAACACATTCCAACTCGATTTATGGATTGAATTGCTATTCAAATGAAATATTGCGTCGAAAATATGGGGTGAAATCAGTCTAAATTATCGATTTTTTTCTTCTTCAAAAATCGACAATTTTTTCCCCAAATCTTAAAAATCTTGGGTATTGGAATATAAATTGAGGCTCCTCTTGCATCCCAAGGAATTTCTGCCTTGTTTGGGAAAAAGTCAATTTTTGGCCAAATTTTGATCAAAATTTAAGGGGCTAGCTTTGCATTTTTATCAAATTTGGGCAAAATTCTTTTTCTTGAAATTACAAAATGTAAGGGGTAAGCCTTACATTTTTATCAAAATTGGGCAAAATTTGACTTTCTTGAAATTACAAAATGTAAGGGGTAAGCCTTACATTTTTATCAAAATTGGGCAAAATTTGACTTTCTTGAAATTACAAAATGTAAGGGGTTAGCAATGCATTTTTATCAAAATTGGGCAAAATTTGACTTTCTTGAAATTACAAAATGTAAGGGGTTAGCCTTGCATTTTGATCAAAATTGGGCAAAATTTGACTTTTTCTTGAAATTACAAAATGTAAGGGGTTAGCCTTGCATTTTGATCAAAATTGGATAAAATTTGACGATTTTGGGAAATTAACAAGTGTAAGGGGTTAGCCTTGCGTTTTGATCAAAATTGGGCAAAATTTGACTTTTTCTTGAAATTACAAAATATAAGGGGTTAGCCTTGCATTTTGATCAAAATTGGGCAAAATTTGACGATTTTGGGAAATTAACAAATGTAAGGGGGTTAGCCTTGCATTTTTAATAAAATTGGGCAAAATTTGACTTTCTCTAGAAATTACAAAATGTAAGGGGTTAGACTTGCATTTTGATCAAAATTGGGCAAAATTTGACTTTTTCTAAAAATTACAAAATGTAAGGGGTTTAACCTTGCGTTTTTAACAAAATTGGGCAAAATTTGACTTTTTCCTGAAATTACGAAATGTAAGGGGTTAGCCTTGCTTTTTGATCAAAATTGGGCAAAATTTGACTTTTTCTTGAAATTACAAAATGTAAGGGGTTAGCCTTGCTTTTTTATCAAAATTGGATAAAATTTGACGATTTTGGGAAATTAACAAGTGTAAGGGGTTAGCCTTGCATTTTGATCAAAATTGGGAAAAAATTGACGATTTTGGGAAATTAACGAATGTAAGGGGTTAGCCTTGCATTTTTATCAAAATTGGGCAAAACTTGACTTTTTCTAGAAATAAAAAAATGTAAGGGGTTAGCCTTGCGTTTTTTAACAAAATTGGGCAAAATTGGACTTTTTCCTGAAATTACAAAATGTAAGGGGTTAGCCTTGCATTTTGATCAAAATTGGGAAAAAATTGACGATTTTGGGAAATTAACGAATGTAAGGGGTTAGCCTTGAATTTTTATCAAAATTGGGCAAAACTTGACTTTTTCTAGAAATAACAAAATGTATGGGGTTAGCCTTGCGTTTTTTAACAAAATTGGGCAAAATTGGACTTTTTCCTGAAATTACAAAATGTAAGGGGTTAGCCTTGCATTTTGATCAAAATTGGGCAAAATTTGACTTTTTCTAGAAATTAACGAATGTAAGGGGTTAGCCTTGCATTTTGATCAAAATTGGGCAAAACTTGACTTTTTCTAGAAATAAAAAAATATAAGGGGTTAGCCTTGCGTTTTTAACAAAATTGGGCAAAATTGGACTTTTTCCTGAAATTACAAAATGTAAGGGGTTAGCCTTGCATTTTGATCAAAATTGGGCAAAATTTGACTTTTTCTAGAAATTACAAAATGTAAGGGGTTAGCCTTGCATTTTGATCAAAATTTGGCAAAATTTGACTTTTTCTAGAAATTACAAAATGTAAGGGGTTAGCCTTGCGTTTTTAACAAAATTGGGCAAAGTTTGACTTTTTCCTGAAATCACAAAATGTAAGGGGTTAGCCTTGCGTTTTGATCAAAATTGGATAAAATTTGACGATTTTGGGAAATTAACGAATGTAAGGGGTTAGCCTTGCATTTTTATCAAAATTGGGCAAAATTTGACTTTTTCCTGAAATTACAAAATGTAAGGGGTTAGCCTTGCATTTTGATCAAAATTGGGCAAAATTTGACTTTTTACTGAAATTACAAAATGTAAGGGGTTAGCCTTGCATTTTGATCAAAATTGGGCAAAATTTGACTTTTTCTTGAAATTACCAAATGCAAGGGGTTAGCCTTGCTTTTTGATCAAAATTAAATAATATTTGACTTTTTCTTGAAATTACAAAATATAAGGGGTTAGCCTTGCTTTTTGATCAAAATTGGATAAAATTTGACGATTCTGGGAAATTAACAAGTGTAAGGGGTTAGCCTTGCGTTTTGATCAAAATTGGGCAAAATTTGACGATTTTGGGAAATTAACGAATGTAAGGGGTTAGCCTTGCATTTTTATCAAAATTGGGCAAAATTTGACTTTTTCTAGAAATTACAAAATGTAAGGGGTTAGCCTTGCGTTTTTAACAAAATTGGGCAAAATTTGACTTTTTCCTGAAATTACAAAATGTAAGGGGTTAGCCTTGCGTTTTGATCAAAATTGGGCAAAATTTGACTTTTTCTAGAAATTACAAAATATAAGGGGTTAGCCTTGCATTTTGATCAAAATTGGGCAAAATTTGACGATTTTGGGAAATTAACAAGTGTAAGGGGTTAGCCTTGCATTTTGATCAAAATTGGGCAAAATTTGACTTTTTCTTGAAATTACAAAATGTAAGGGGTTAGCCTTGCGATTTGATCAAAATTGGGCAAAATTTGACTTTTTCTAGAAATTACAAAATATAAGGGGTTAGCCTTGCATTTTGATCAAAATTGGGCAAAATTTGACGATTTTGGGAAATTAACAAGTGTAAGGGGTTAGCCTTGCATTTTGATCAAAATTGGGCAAAATTTGACTTTTTCTTGAAATTACAAAATGTAAGGGGTTAGCCTTGCGATTTGATCAAAATTGGGCAAAATTTGACTTTTTCTAGAAATTACAAAATATAAGGGGTTAGCCTTGCATTTTGATCAAAATTGGGCAAAATTTGACGATTTTGGGAAATTAACGAATGTAAGGGGTTAGCCTTACATTTTTATCAAAATTGGGCAAAATTTGACTTTTTCTAGAAATAAAAAAATGTAAGGGGTTAGCCTTGCGTTTTTAACAAAATTGGGCAAAATTTGACTTTTTCTAGAAATTACAAAATATAAGGGGTTAGCCTTGCATTTTTATCAAAATTTGGCAAAATTTGACTTTTTCTTGAAATTACAAAATGTAAGGGGTAAGCCTTGCCTTTTTATCAAAATTGGGCAAAATTTGACTTTTTCTAGAAATTACAAAATGTAAGGGGGTTAGCCTTGCATTTTGATCAAAATTGGATACAATTTGACGATTTGGGGAAATTAACGAATGTAAGGGGTTAGCCTTACATTTTTATCAAAATTGGGCAAAATTTGACTTTTTCTAGAAATAAAAAAATGTAAGGGGTTAGCCTTGCGTTTTTAACAAAATTTGGCAAAATTTGACTTTTTCTAGAAATTACAAAATATAAGGGGTTAGCCTTGCATTTTTATCAAAATTTGGCAAAATTTGACTTTTTCTTGAAATTACAAAATGTAAGGGGTAAGCCTTGCCTTTTTATCAAAATTGGGCAAAATTTGACTTTTTCTAGAAATTACAAAATGTAAGGGGGTTAGCCTTGCATTTTGATCAAAATTGGATACAATTTGACGATTTGGGGAAATTAACGAATGTAAGGGGTTAGCCTTACATTTTTATCAAAATTGGGCAAAATTTGACTTTTTCTAGAAATAAAAAAATGTAAGGGGTTAGCCTTGTGTTTTTAACAAAATTGGGCAAAATTTGACTTTTTCTAGAAATTACAAAATATAAGGGGTTAGCCTTGCATTTTTATCAAAATTTGGCAAAATTTGACTTTTTCTTGAAATTACAAAATGTAAGGGGTTAGCCTTGCATTTTTATCAAAATTGGATACAATTTGACGATTTTGGGAAATTAACAAATGTAAGGGGTTAGCCTTGCAATTTTATCAAAATTGGGCAAAATTTGACTTTTTCTAGAAATTAAAAAATGTAAGGGGCTAGCCTTGCATTTTTATCAACATTTGGCAAAATTGGACTTTTTCTAGAAATTACAAAATGTAAGGGGTTAGCCTTGCATTTTGATCAAAATTTGGCAAAATTTGACTTTTTCTAGAAATTACAAAATGTAAGGGGTTAGCCTTGCGTTTTTAACAAAATTGGGCAAAGTTTGACTTTTTCCTGAAATCACAAAATGTAAGGGGTTAGCCTTGCGTTTTGATCAAAATTGGATAAAATTTGACGATTTTGGGAAATTAACGAATGTAAGGGGTTAGCCTTGCATTTTTATCAAAATTGGGCAAAATTTGACTTTTTCCTGAAATTACAAAATGTAAGGGGTTAGCCTTGCATTTTGATCAAAATTGGGCAAAATTTGACTTTTTACTGAAATTACAAAATGTAAGGGGTTAGCCTTGCATTTTGATCAAAATTGGGCAAAATTTGACTTTTTCTAGAAATTACAAAATATAAGGGGTTAGCCTTGCATTTTGATCAAAATTGGGCAAAATTTGACGATTTTGGGAAATTAACAAGTGTAAGGGGTTAGCCTTGCATTTTGATCAAAATTGGGCAAAATTTGACTTTTTCTTGAAATTACAAAATGTAAGGGGTTAGCCTTGCGATTTGATCAAAATTGGGCAAAATTTGACTTTTTCTAGAAATTACAAAATATAAGGGGTTAGCCTTGCATTTTGATCAAAATTGGGCAAAATTTGACGATTTTGGGAAATTAACAAGTGTAAGGGGTTAGCCTTGCATTTTGATCAAAATTGGGCAAAATTTGACTTTTTCTTGAAATTACAAAATGTAAGGGGTTAGCCTTGCGATTTGATCAAAATTGGGCAAAATTTGACTTTTTCTAGAAATTACAAAATATAAGGGGTTAGCCTTGCATTTTGATCAAAATTGGGCAAAATTTGACGATTTTGGGAAATTAACGAATGTAAGGGGTTAGCCTTACATTTTTATCAAAATTGGGCAAAATTTGACTTTTTCTAGAAATAAAAAAATGTAAGGGGTTAGCCTTGCGTTTTTAACAAAATTGGGCAAAATTTGACTTTTTCTAGAAATTACAAAATATAAGGGGTTAGCCTTGCATTTTTATCAAAATTTGGCAAAATTTGACTTTTTCTTGAAATTACAAAATGTAAGGGGTAAGCCTTGCCTTTTTATCAAAATTGGGCAAAATTTGACTTTTTCTAGAAATTACAAAATGTAAGGGGGTTAGCCTTGCATTTTGATCAAAATTGGATACAATTTGACGATTTGGGGAAATTAACGAATGTAAGGGGTTAGCCTTACATTTTTATCAAAATTGGGCAAAATTTGACTTTTTCTAGAAATAAAAAAATGTAAGGGGTTAGCCTTGTGTTTTTAACAAAATTTGGCAAAATTTGACTTTTTCTAGAAATTACAAAATATAAGGGGTTAGCCTTGCATTTTTATCAAAATTTGGCAAAATTTGACTTTTTCTTGAAATTACAAAATGTAAGGGGTTAGCCTTGCATTTTTATCAAAATTGGATACAATTTGACGATTTTGGGAAATTAACAAATGTAAGGGGTTAGCCTTGCAATTTTATCAAAATTGGGCAAAATTTGACTTTTTCTAGAAATTAAAAAATGTAAGGGGCTAGCCTTGCATTTTTATCAACATTTGGCAAAATTGGACTTTTTCTAGAAATTACAAAATGTAAGGGGGTTAGCCTTGCATTTTGATCAAAATTGGATACAATTTGACGATTTTGGGAAATTAACAAATGTAAGGGGTTAGCCTTGCATTTTGATCAAAATTGGGCAAAATTTGACTTTTTCTAGAAATTACAAAATGTAAGGGGCTAGCTTTGCTTTTTTATCAAATTCGGGCAAAATTCTACTTTTTCTTGAAATTACAATATCAAGGGGTTAGCCTTGCATTTTTATCAAAATTTGGCAAAATTCGACTTTTTCTAGAATAACAAAATGTAAGGGGTTAGCCTTGCATTTTTATCAAAATTGGGCAAAATTAGACTTTTTATGGAAATTAACAAATGTAAGGGGCTAGCTTTGCATTTTTATCAAATTTGGGAAAAATTCTACTTTTTTTTGAAATTACAAAATGTAAGGGGTTGGCCTTACATTTTTGTCAATTTTGGCAAAAAAATGAAATTGCTTGAAACTTGCTAGAAAGATACCTGAGGGGCCCTTGAACACATTCTAACTTGATTGATGGATTGAATTGCTATTCAAAAGAAAAATTGCGTCGAAAATATGGGGCGAAATCAGTCAAATTATTGATTTTTTATATTTTTGCCCAAATCTTAAAAATCTTGGGTGTTGGATAATAAATTGAGGCTCCTCTTGCATCCAAAGGAATTTCTGCCTTGTTTGGGGAAAAGTCAATTTTTGGCCAAATTTTGATCAAAATTTGTTAAAAAAAAAGGTCCCACATTTCAGCAGTCAACAGTTGTGATTTAAGGCTAGTTCACACTCGGTGCAAAAGCGAATATTACACAAATTTGTGACCTGACGGCAAGTATTTGCACTTCGTATGAATAAGCCTTTAATTGAACCATCGCAATGCACTTACAATATTCAAGACACAATACATGTTTATCAATATATAGATGATCCCTCGGTATTACATGTGAAACACTGATCTACATGTAAGTATTGAACATCCAAATATGTGTACACACATAAAAAAGAACTAACATTTTTACATAACATTTCAAAAAAATTTCTTTACAGTATACAAAATAATTTAAGCACCACACAATAGAGATAGCTGCCAGTTATTGTTCTTCAAAAAGTTTGCAAATGGACAGTACACAACAGATGAGATGTTTTACTCTTTTTTTTAACTCCCAGTGTTTTCGGTCTGGAGACCAACATGCTGAATACCGTGATGAGTTTGTAAAACAAAAACACCTCAATGTTGTGTATCATGTTTTTTAGCTATGAATATCATTTCGGACAATTGATGAAAATCACGGATACATAAAACACACAATTATAGTAATGCTGGACTGGTAAATGTCATATTTTGAGATGTAGAGTATAAAAACCTTTTCTGATGAATAAGACTTAAGGGGAAAGTTTCGCTGAGTAACGGTTCTCATTCACCTGCACTTTTAAATCCATGTGCAGCTACGCACAATTCTACGGCCGCTTCCTTAGGTTCCATGTTGTGGGAGTCTGCACGTCGATCAGACAGAGTTGGCTTGTTAAGGCAATTGTTGTGGTGGGATTGTCGTTGAGGGCACTTCACGGCTCAGTCGTTGGGCATGATGGTTATGAACAGGCCCTTCTCTGGCCACTGGTACAGTTTAGGAAGATCAATCTGTGGGAAAAAATAGTGAACCATAACTTTTTAAGCACAAGCGCTTTTCCTATAGACTTTATTCAAAATTGAAAGTAAGGTAAAGTCTTCATTTTTAGAGACTTGCGAGTAGAAAGTGAAATGTCTGCACTTGGGAAACTGTGGTCCAATCGAGCGCTGGGTCCAACGGTTACGGTGTTCGGCTCACTTGCCGCGATACGTGGCTTTGAACCCGGAACGGGGAACATGGTGCTTGTGTTCTTGGGCAAGACACTTTACTACAATTACCTCTCTCCACCCAGGAGTATAAATGGGTACCTGTGAAGGTAGAGACCAGATTGCGCTGATCTCGAGCTGCTGCAGAAACTGTCTCATGGCCTGATGAACAGGGGTAATAATTGTGAAGTGCTTTGAGACCTTTGGTATAAAGCGCTATATAAGCACTATATTATAATTATAATATAGAAATAAAAGCAACAAATTAAAGTTCAATTTGTGATTAAACAAATCCTAATGTTAGAATCAACGTTTGAAAAAAAAAAGCCGAAAGCGAGGCTAGGAACGCACTCCAATCATAAAATAGTCTGGCACCATCCCATTCAACAGTTAACAATTAATAAAACAGATTCAGGGGACACGATCGAAAATGGCTTCCTTATGAATAAGGCCTATTGGTAGGAAAGTGAAATGTCTGCACTTGGGAAACTCCTCCGTGCTCCGTTGATACATTTTCAAGTCACCCCAGCCTTGTGTGAACAAAACAAAAGGGCTGAATAAAATTGGAGAGTCCTACTCCTAACAAACTTGCTAATTTTGCTTTTTTTTAATTTAATCTCTCATTGGAAAGTTCATATCTTTTGCAATGGAGACAAATAAGAGTGGCAAACCCAAAAGGCTAAGGGACACAAACTTGAAATAACTTATCAAAATGGCCAACAAGATTTATATTTTGGGGGGTCGGGGAGTAAAGTTATAGAAGTACGTACATGTAATTCATGTTACTTACTTGTTCTGAAGAGGCCAATTCATCAAGCTCGTCTACCAGTACGTTGATAAAATCATCAGTGAACAGCACCTAGTCAATCGGTACAAACATGACGAAAGCAAGGGGGTAATGATGATGTAGCACCTTCATTACCATCATAGCCCCCTTCAATAGTTTACCTCAATGGAGGGGGGGGGGTTTGTTATTTCAATTCTGTGACAATGAAGAGTACAACTATCTATTCATGTGTATTATAGAGGAACAAAGATGTGATGTTAGATTGCAAGAGGTCTTGGTTCTTGGTTGGTTCATCTCCTAAATACTCTGCGTGGGAGTTTATACAGGAGGCAAGAAACACCGGGGCAAACCCCTTCTCTTTAGCGATAAGTGTTACTGGGTCCTTTTACGTGCATTGGATTACACAACACACGGGACCTACTGCTTTATGTCCGATCCGAAGGACGAAGCAAGAATGGTTAAGTGCATTGCTGAAGGGCACAAGTGTCCACCCAGCGGGCTTGAACCCACGCCACTGTTGCCTCTGAAACACCAGAGCATGAGTCCGGTGCTCTTAACCACTACGCCATGACACTCTGTCAGTGGATATGTGTATTTTGTAAACTTGTCCACACACAACTGTACCAGCGGTAAAAACTTTTAACCCTAATTTCTCTTGCTGAATCTGGCACATTGTACTGCGGACCATCCTTTTTAAACTTGATGACCTACTGAACTGTATTGAAACTCCTTACACTGTTTTCAGACTTCCGTTTATAAAGTCACAAAAGGAAAAACACTGTACGAGTCTTGACTGGGGATTAAACTTAGATTTACTGGCTCAATGTTACTTCCAACCTGTCCACGTGGCTGGTCACTTCAACTACCCAAAATACTTTATTCTCCCTATATTCACTACAAAAAACCCTGCAGGTTAAGGGAACCTCTTCATGATCGTCACTTTGGATCTCAAACTCAACGGCAAAGTAGTGGTATCTTGGTCCTAAATTTCGGACGGACACCCAAGCCTCATGATCAATTGACACCAACCTGTAACCACTGCCCTCTGGCTGCATACGGATGGGAATCCTCTACAAAGGCCCCCTCCACGCCATTAGACACCAGCGTTATTGCACAATCTCCCGCCACGCTCTTGAACGTGAAGTGCCGGCCGTGTTTTAAGCGACCCCTGACAAGAGAAACAAAAACGGTTTACAAGGCCGCTTGTTAAGCTAACATTACAACATCAAATCTTGGAACGATTCCACGAAGTCAACTTTGAGTGGTCTTTTGTAGGAAAGCTACGATTTAATACAATTCTTACAGAGCAAGTCACAACTATCGTCTTCTGACATAACAATTTCACTGCTCTGATGTGAACATTTGGTTTTTACACACAATCAGCAAGCAACTCGGGCGATTCACAATGCAGTGCGCCACCAAGAGTTTGCCAGGGAGAGTTAATTTTTCCCAGTGCATTGTGGGAGATGGTCGACAAATTCGCAGCACGGGACATTTGAAATTGTTAGTTTTTCCGGCCAGAAAGTTCGTAAGCGTATGATTTGATTATCTGTTTGCCCTTTTCTTTTCGTTTTATCAATATGGAGTTTTTTTGTAAGGCGGCAGAACGCTTTGCCCCAATCTATAACAAATTAGCTCAAGTTTTCTACTGACACTCGTTCAAATGGGCCATGTTTTGTCGACCGTGACCTTGAAAAACGAACTCTCCGTGGCAAACTCTTGGTGGCGCACTGCATTGTGAATCGCCCGAATTGAAAAATGCCTTGTCCCGCATCATGGCAGTCAACAACTGTTCACCATTAATACGGTAGAGAAGACAATCAGACCTACTTCATGGACAAAGGTAGCAGCGCAGCGGCTTCGTGATTCAGCCTGATGTGGACCCTGTCCAGGCAGCGTGGGTTCCCGAGCTCCACCAGGTTACCCTGAGGGTCACTGTCGCTGTCTAGGGAAGACTGCCGCTGGGATTGATGGTAGGGCTGGTTGGCTGTGGGTTTGCTGGGTTGAGGGTTGGCGATGGGTGGTAGGGCCGGGCGTTCGCTTGCAAGGCCCATCTTCAATGCTGCTTTGATCTGTTCTGATTCTGCAATAGATAAGGCAAGTCCCAGTTTGGTAGCTAACGACTAAGTACATGGAATGGACTGGGTGTGTAAACAGTGCTTGGACTTTTGTAAATGGGTAATTCCAGCGGTATTTAATGTCCGTAACAGAGCTTTTAAGAGCTCCATGAATAAACCTGAAAATGTCTTTTTCATCCACTATCTAGTTATGGTCAAGGAGATTACAGACTAGGGAGTTTTGGATCATTTCTCTAAATCATTAATTAGATATTACGCTCCACATAATAACATTACCTTAGGAATATTAGGGGTGTCCCATCAGAACAATCTTAAATTTAAATGCACTCTTAAATTTCACAAATGTGATTTATAAGCAATGTATTCCGAGTTCAGTTTGAGAGCTTGTTTCACAAAAAAAATCACAAGCTTGCGCTGAACTCGAACTCAAGACCAGGGGCCAATTTCACGGCGCTGCTAAGCACAAAAATTGCTTAACATAAAAAAGTCTGGCATATAAAAGCAGGTTACCAGCCAAAGCTCCAAGTGACGTATATTGCTCATGATGAGTATTCAGCTGTTGTTTGCTTAGCATGAAAACCACATGGAGTTTTGGCTAATAACCTGCTTTTATAAAACAGACTTTTTTTGTGCTAAGCAAGTTTTTGTGCTTGGCAGCGCCGTGAAATTGGGCCATGCCCGTCACTAGTGCAGATTCATACCACTCCAACCAGCCATAGTCTGTTGGCCACTTTAAATCTGAAATTCAAAATCAAATCTGAAGTTCAATCCGAATCTGAAAATTTGGCACTGAAATCCAGAGCCTGCTACTCACGTTGCGGGGAGATTCTCTGAGACAACGGTTTCTCCTCCCCAGGGACCTCCACGTCATCGGGTTCCTGCCAGGAGCAACAGGCGCTGACCCCGCTCAGGTTGGACCCGTCCATGTCGATGCCTCGGTCCACCTCATCCTGAAGGTGGGGGTTGAGCTCAAAGATCGTCTCGCCTCGCCGCATGTCTGTGATCAGCCATTCACCACCGGCACTATCAGGACGGAATACAGAGTGTTATGTACTGTTTCAAAGCTGTTCATTAAGTTACAAGTCAAATCACAAGTCAATTTACCAGTAAGGTCGGAAGTAACAGGGGATGAACCATGACAATGACTGTGACAAATGCCTTTATTTTTAGTTTCACCCTTGCTACTTTTCTTGTTTCATGTTTAGTTTTGGAACAATTTTCTTCACATATTTCAAATTACAATTTGTGGTCCGACAATAATTCAGTTGCCGTAGGGTAGGATGGTTCCCGCCCCTCCCTATCAGAATCGATAGCGGATGCACCGGGAACCAGTCTAGGGCAGATCTGTTTGTATGCAAACGCAACCAAAACTAATTTACCCTTCTTTTCCCTGGGTTAGACATTGAAATTAAACAGAGACTTGAATAAAGACATAGGGCTGGACAGCTCAGTTGGTAGAGCACCAGAACGGCAATCCGGAGGTCGCAGGTTCAAACCCCACTCTGGTCAATGAATTTACTCATCTTTTGAAATTAATTCGAAATTCGTTTGGAGAAAAACTAAATGAATTTGTTGATGAAGAGTACGCACAGGACATCTTTAACAGTCCCGTAGAAAACATTTTGCCCTTTAAATCCAAATAAACCGATTATAACTTGAAAGTAATGGGGCTGCTTTAGACTTATATGATAGATCGGGGCGGAGTGACGTCATCCGATGAAAACATCTATTCATTTGCACACCAGTTTTCATCGGTTGCTGTGTGTTACCATTCAGCACTCCAGACTCAAGAACCATTGAGTTTCAAGAACATAAGTCTGGGAGCTAGATAAGCAAATGTAAAATATTCCCGCATGTCCGTGCCCAACTATATTAAAGTGCAAGCAAAGTTTACAACTTCACCACTGTGAACTTGAAAGCACTTGCTTTGCTCAAAAACTGGCATGCGATATGAACTAGTCTTTTATCCTATCTTAGGAAACAATCACAATATACCCACACTGTTGTTGTCTTTAAGAGTTCCAATACAGACGGACCGTTCCACCTTTGAGCTGCTTGCAGTTCCTCAGAACACACACCAACTACCTGTAAATGAAGACCATAGAGTTGTCAGTCAGTCCACATAAAGCATCTGTCAGTGTCTTAACCTTAACCTTCCCACCTCCAACAAAATCCATTCCCCATTTGAGGGGATTTTGGTATGCAAGCCATGAGTACCGAGTCCATCAAAATCCACCTTTAGCAGTGGTGGATTTCAATGGATTTGGTCCTGAAGCATTGTGTCAAGCAGAGTCAGTGATGGTTTTTGGCAGACTTGGTACTGTCCTTAGTAAAACTCAGTAGGGAGTTAGGGTTAGTGTATTTATGAATGAAACGATTAGTCACAATTTTTGCTAAACCTGAACAATTGCTCTCTGAATGAGTCACTGTCTGACTGACAGACTGACTGAATCATAAATCCCAACTCTCTTACAACAGTACCAAGTCCGTCAAAATCCATCAATGACTCTGCTTCACATAATGCTTCAGGACCAAATCCGTTGAAATCCACCACAAATCCACCACTGCTATAGGTGGATTTTGATGGACTCGGTATTCATAGCTTGCCTACAAAAATCCTCCCAAATGCAGGATGGATTTTGATAGAGTTTGGAAGGTTAGGGTTTAGCATAAATAATGTCGTAGCTGAGAATCTCGGGTCCAGTTCGACTATGCAAGACTAATCTTGCTTACCAAATTTGGAGGGGGAGGGGAGAGAGTCTGTTATAAACTTATTGAGGTATCTAAATTTGTAAATTTAGAAACCTCAACAAAGTCAAATTGTTTTCTGTGAACACCTAATCTTATTGGATAGGGCTTTAACCAATGACAAACTTGGACCGTTCTACCATGGCAACAGATTTCACTGAGTAAATTACCTGAACAAAGCTGACTGTTCCCAGCGGAGTTGCGATGGGTTGGAGCTGGGCGTCTTCAGACATCAGCATGTGTTGCACCCTGGACTCACTGTTATCTAGGGGACTGTGCCACGAGACGTGGTCCCCAGCACACAGAGTGTTATCTGAACAACCGCAGAAGAGTAACAAAATATTTTTGCAATGTACAGTTGACCCTTGTTTAGAGTACAAAACTCTGTTTAAATTCTGGTTAAAAGAAAGATCAATAGTTGGAAACATCACAAAGTTATATCTTAGACTCTCGTTTCCTACCCGATTGGAAGACATATTTAGCGAGGCCCTGCATGAGTTGGGCAGGCCAGGTTGGGGGCGCTGTTTCCGTCGGTTCCCGTTTGAGTCGGAAGGTAAGTTCAAAGCCGAAGCCACTGGGAGCCTCAGGACCGGTGAATCTGTAGAGTGGAACATTACTTCACTATTTTACATTCTATCGCAAGAATGGAATAGTGGTTGTAGTAGTTTGTTTTAAACAGCAAAAAGACATGATCTGTTTTCATGAATTCTGTCATGAAACTATGCTTAGTGCGGGACAACTATAGTTGGGCCAGCCCAACTGGAACATTTTAGTTGGGATGATCCAAACTGAAGCTCGGACCGAAAGTATACAGGCATGCAACTGGGAATTTAAAAAGAAACGAGGAAATTCCAAACCACACCAGACTTTGTACAGTGTTTTTCAATTTGTAATGGCATTCATGAAAACTAAAAAACGAGGAAATCAGTGGATCCAAGGTAAAGTTGCATGCCTGAGTATAGTCGGGGCGTGACAACTGCTCTGCAGTGAATCTGTAAAGTTGAACATAATTTCAAGTCGGATATGACAGTCGGTCATGTCTAAAGCACACCATGAAGCTGCGAACTAGGTTCCTATCAGTTAAGCCCTGTCCGAGTTACTTGGCTGTGGCTAGAAATTACACATGAATATGGAAGTGGCTGCGGCTACTTCCCATAGACCGGTGTGTTATATCCAGCCGTAGCCATGTAATTCAGATGCAGCCATACTTACTCATGAACCCGTCCATCACCGTAGAGATCAGAGAGTCCAAAGCTGATGTAATGCCAGTGTGGTGGGATTCCCCTCTCTGGCAGGCCTGGATTGGAGTACATACTAATGTAGTCCAGGGGGTCTGGACCTCCCAACCTATCAAACAGACAAATAAGGAGATGAGGATAATTAGACTATTTTCTGATTTTCTTCTGCTTCTTTTTTCTCAAAAAGAATTGATAAATAGAGAACAGCCATGACAGGGATTTTAAGATTCCGCAATCATTTCTCTTATACATAAATGTTGTGCATCGTGCCGAGCCAAACCGGCCCGAAATTTTACTTATATAACCAAATCCGAACCGAAACTGATCTGAACTCCCTCAAACCGACCCGACCTGACCAGACCTGACAAAATATTTATTATGCTCCTATATTAAAATGTAGGACAAATAAGGAGATAATTCTTCTACTCTCATTTCTTTCTACAAAAAGTACAAGAAAACAACGGAATTCAATTGTAGACAAATGTCCCATTATGTCCTTATCCTAGAGACTTTTTCATTCAAATTCCATGAAAGTTAAAAAATCATGACATGACAACTAGTTACAACGTTCATGACGTTTGTTGACACGGGCTGACGTATTGCTATGCATGATTGCTTGATTGTGGACATGGTTGAATGCAATGCAAACTTACCAAAACTTTACAACGGCGGTGACTTGTAGTGGATTTGGCTGATGAGGATAGAGATTCCTACAGGCGGAATAGACAGCCTCTAGTCCAACAGGAACCATTGCCACATTGTCAGCATTATCGCCTCCATTTGCGGCCATTTCTAATTTTGAGGCCAAAAACCTCTTGAAAAATAATCAATCCTGTCACTCTCTTGAGTTTACGTCGGGGGAATGAACACTGGTGTACACTCGTAGTCCAGCCTGATCTGTGTGTGCTTTGGTCACACAAGCGCGCACCAGCTAACAAGTATGGTATCTGTTGCTTTGTACATAAAGATACCGCGGTGGTACGTACAAAGATGATGATGAAGTTACCAGACGACGTTTGTTGATATCTAATCGCTTAAGGGGCGGGACAATTTGATGGGATGGGGGGGGGGAGCATACCTCTTTTGGATACAATCAATCAATCTGATAATTACCTAGAGGAAAGAAAAGTGCACACATGGAAATAGTCGTTTTGTCAATGGAAAGCTTTCTGTTAAATTCTCTCAATGTTTCTTGTTTCTTTTGGTGTTTTTTTTTTATTTGGCAGGTCATCCTTTAAAATGGCTCGATGGTCTATCCTCCCAGACTCAATACGTTGCACCACGTACGATGGAGCTATTTAATTTTTTTATGGTTCCATGGTTGCACAAGAGTATAACTGAATGCGACTTTAGTTTAAAAGATATCCCCTAAATCGGAATTGTTGCATGACCACTTGACAATTGCATTCCTTATCACTTTGTCATGTTATTATGACCAATACACTGTGCGAGTACTTCCGCCTTCGTGAACTCATTTTCAACCCCCCCCCCCCCCCCCCCGCCTTAGATTAGCGCTGACGTGCATACAGATCAATTTGCATCTGAACGAGCGTATTGAGTCGAGCGGGGGTGTAATGGGGGTGCACTTCGGTATGCGTGATGACCTCGATGCCCTTTTTGTATGGTCCACTGTGCACCCCTTTCACGGCGTCTGCTGTACGGTAATTCTGCTGTACACGTACTGCATGCAGGTGCATCTACGCACTGGTGCCCTTCTAACCACAAAGCACTAGCTCTATGGTACATGTAAATTATTAACGCTCGATATTTTAGATCAGACGAAATTTCCCACAAGTTTCACTTGTATCAATTCCACTGTCGTCACCGGCGACTGTAACGTTGGAAACTGTGAAGTCACGAACTACTGGAAACTAGACTAGATATTGTTTAGGTTTGGAAAAAGACAACGAAAATGATTTGCATACTCCTGGTGTTATTGCTGAGTACCGTGGGAAATTGCCAAACTGGAGACTACACAACAGTTGACGCTGCTTCAACAACGGCAGGGGTCGATGGGTACACCGGCAAGGATAAACTTGGATGCAACGCCTCGATGTCTGTGTCTGACAAGAGCGTTGAAGAGTTCCGTGGTCTTGTTGATGACGGGGCAATTTTCGTCTACTTGAAGCTAGTTTTCGTGGATGCTGAGTTTGACGACCCCCTCTCTGCCTACTTGGAGGATATTGGCAATGTCATCAACCCGCTCCGTTGGGTGTGGGCCAAGGGAGGCAGGGGGAAACTGTTGCTCTCCTCCCCCTTCGACTTCAACCAGTTGTCGTTGACAACATTGGGTACGGGTGTTTATTCGATTGGAGTCAAGATCCATGGCTGTGTGGACGCCGACAATGACGATGAACAGAACATGAGAATGATTGCATTGCTGTTACGAGACCTTATAAAAGATGAAGGCAATAAAACGGAGGAGGATAATGACAACGAAATGCTGCTGTGTCTCGAGAAGCAGCTGGGAAAAGGAGACTTTCCCTTGCCAGGAGTTCTGTACTTTCCTGGTTCATCGTACAGCATGATGCAAGCAAGCTCCGCCTTTGATTGTTGGCCTTATGACTCGGACACCGTTGAGAGAGTAGCTCCCACCCAGTACTGGCTGGGATGGATCCTAGCCGGCGGTGTTATCCTTGCCTTGTACTCCCCAATGGCCTTGAGTTTCTTCGTTCAGAAGAACAAACCGGAATGTGACAGTAAAGGGATCGAAAGACTCAGTCTAGTATCCGATCTACCCCTGGGATTGAAATACGTCCTGTGTTTCTGGAGAAATGACAATTTCTGTTTCGCCTCTACCCGGTGGACATTGTTCGTAACGATCTTCGTGTTGCTCCAGTACATTCCTGTTCTGGTATCCTTCGTGACAGACATGGAGGATTTCATGAATAGATCCAGTGCCTTTTACCGCGTCGGTCCAATCAACGTCATTGTGAGTATCGTCTCCCATGTACTCATCAATTTAGTCTTCATCATCGCGGCCATCGTACTCATGGAGAGGTTTTTGCGGCCTTCTGGGCAGTTGTTCATGAAGCCGCTGCTCCAGGAGCGAGAGAGAAGCTCAAGCGTGGACAGCAACAACCCAAGCGACGGAGACGGAGCGGCAGCTGCAAACAGCGGTGGCAGTGACGGACATGACACAACAAGCGGAGGAAGACAGGGAAGTACCGACTCTGCCCAAGGCGCTAATGTGGAGGTGGAAGAGTCCAACATAGCTTACCGACACATCGTTATGGTGGAAGCTCCCCCACACCTCTGGCCTCCAAGCACTTCACTGGACAGCTACCAAGCCTTTTTTTATTACATGGGTTGGAGGGCAAAAATGGGCCTCGACACAAAGGCTTGGCGGTTTGTGCTTGTCGACTGGCTGTGGGAGCGCGTAGGAGCTCCTGATCCCGGGCACACGGTACGCACTTTCCTCTGCGTTGTCATCTTCGCCTTGCTGTACCTCCTGTATCTTCCGTTTGCTCTTATCTTCTTTGCCTTCAATTCGCTACCTTTGCTTTACTGCATGACGAGATGTCTTCAGACTGTGCTCAGTAATGACGTCAAACCCACAGAGTTGATGTTTGCGTTTCTAATTTCTCTCGCATCTATCGCCTGGTTCTTCAAGTTTGTCGCAACATTCGTCTACGTTGCGGAGCTTCTCGGATATTCCTTCATGGGGTTTGTCGTCAATGCTGAAGCGGTGGGGTCCATCGTTCTCGTCATCGTGATCTTCATCGGATACGTGGTCACGGCCATCACTGGGTTCTATGATGGGTACTGCGTGCTTTTCAGCAATGTGATGAAAATTGCCGAAGAGGCACAAAGGGAGAAAAAGGAAGCCCAGCCAGCCACAGCAGCCGCTACTGCACGACAGGACGGGAGTACTGGCGCGGTCCGAAGAGCCCCAAGTAGTCAGTCTCCATCCTCAGGCTCTGGGGGAACTGAAATGCCAATGACAGTGATCGACGACCATGGCAGAGATCCAGCTGCGCCTTTAGGCAGTGCGGACATCGTGCAGGCATCACCGGGAGGCGGCACCTCTAGGCCCCTGGACACCCCGCTCATTGCAGTCAACGCCAGAGGCATCCCGTCTCTTGAGCTGCGTCTCTTCTGGTTGATCGTGGACAAGCACCGACCGATCCGGCTGCAGGTGGGCTCCACCATATTCCAACTGCTGGTGATCGGAGTCGGTATTGGCTTCGGGATGTCCATTCTGGCCATCGCTAACTCCTTGAGTCAACTGTCCACCACCGTCAGCCTCTTCTCCTCGGTGATTATCGCTGGTGTAGTACCGACGGTGCTCTTAGCGGTCAGGTCCCCTGCCTCCCAGGATTGCTACAACCAGGCCAAGGAGAGACAGATAAAAGCAGACATAGTACACTACGCACAAAAAGGTGAACTTAAAGATGCAGCAGCATGAGAATCTTGTTAGAGATATCAATTTGTTTCACTCAAGCTTTAAAAAGTAACGTTGACTCTTCACTGTATGCGGAAATCGCACTCCGTTTTTTGTTTGCTTTAAATAGCTGAAGTGCCATGCCACTGTTTTTATAAAATATCTAACAAAATTAGTTTAGCCAAGATAATTAATGTTTGTCACTAGTTGTATTTGTAAAGGGAAAGGGTAATAGCGTATGGCAATTGCCAATTATTGTACCACTGCTTCCGTTTTGTTGGGCAATTTTATTGAATTTGGTTAGCTTCTGATAATGTTTAAAAAATCAAAACGCCATTTGCATGTTCTATTATGCCTGCTTACATACTTCTGTCTTTAAACCATCATCTAATTTCACACAAGACATTTTACAGAAAAAAATACGTTACATCAAGCTAGGAATACACTAGGGCCTACATATATTAAATTGAAGGTGAATTACCGTGAAAATGAATTACTTTGTACAAATTATAATTAAAAAAAAAATGTGTGGTACGGTGAATCGGGAATTGTTAGGGGTAGAGACGTAAGAGAGTTTTAAGTAGTCAAAAAACTGAACATGTACTTACGAAAAATCGTGGTGTGTGGTGTTTTTTTTTAATTGTTGTAGAATAGAAAAGGGATAGAAAGATTAACCATGCATGCACTTAGAAATGAAGTGTTTTCTCAAGATGAAAATATTTTTTATTCAAGAAAATTAATTCAGCGTTTTCGTAGTTCTGACGTCGCTTGTAATTCTATGTTGTGCATAACATGCAGTACGTCAATTTTGATTTTGAGTTATACATGTACATATGTATATACAATTCACTTCACGTACATGCATTTCACTGAAAATGGATAGCACAGTCACGATTGTTATTTCAAGGGTAAACACATGTACCTGACGCCTTGGCTAATACGACCGAGACTTTTTTGGAGTCTAGTGCATTTGACGTTGTTCCTGAACGAACTCGAAACACTGTTATTGTTTAATCTCAAGTTGTGCACGCATATTTAAGATGAACGGCCTAAAACGTCTTAGCCGGAATGTTAATCCAGCCGGACTCCTTTCAAGACTATTTCCAAATTTACACAGACCAGTACTTTTTAAAAGTTATATGTTTGAATAATTAGTCTTTTTCTTTATAACATGAAAAAGAGACTTCCGATATGCACGAGTTGTCAATGGTTGTCGGTGGAAAATGAAAGGGAAAATATGTTGTAATACTTTTTAATATTTAGTAAATACTATGCAATTAAGGGCGAGGCAAACCCCAGTGTGACTCACTGTGACTCACAGTACTGTATTCTGATTTACACGTATTCAAATGTATAAAGTACCTTTTGTCTCGCCTGAACTTTGTTCAGTCAATTTAGAGACTATTATGCAATCACTATGTCTGTATGTACGTATGTACATGTTTATATTATACATGTATATGTGGTATGTTGGTTAAAATTTCGTAAAATTGGTCTCATTTCAAAAAGGTGAAGTCCAATTGGAACCAAACTTGGGTCATAGAGGCAACAGGCGAGACACATGGTTCGAGAACCATCTTGTATTCGAACATTATTAGTGTACTGTACATGTACAGGTACTAACAATAATACACAAATTAATGAATGGTTACGAGTGCAATGGTAAAAATAATTTCATGAGGTGACATTGCTCATTGCTTTAATCCTTTTTTTTTTCAGATAAAATAAATAGAGCAGGTAAAATTATGGGTACATGTATTTCAATACTGATTGTTTGTGTGATGAAATTTCCATCTGGCAATGGAAGTTCTATGTGACATAGTGATTGCATAATACATGTAGTCTCTAAATTTCCTGAACAAAGTTCAGACGAGACAGAAATAACTTTGTACATTTGAATACGTGTAAATCAGAATACAGTACTGTGTCAACTCAGAGGTGACAGATGGAATGTTTTTGCCGAGTGGAATTGAACATTCCATCTGTCACCGAATGAAATTAGTCTTTCCATTGCACGAATGTGATAAATCCTAGTAATCTGATCGGTAACTTTGTAAACTGGTATTCTACTATGTATCTGAGTTATCAGAGCTGATAGTCTTACCGTGCAACGGAAGTTCTATTTACCGTGGAATAGAATTCTATTTTTGCGGTGCAGCCGGACAAACAATTCAATGACACGGGATCAAGGACCGACCAATCAGACGACTGGGATTTATTCAGGCGTTGTATAAAGTACATTGTAGTTTCTGTGATGGATACAATACAAATCAAGTAAATTGTATACAGCTGCCACAATGTGCCACAGTTGCTGAAGTTTCGAAACTATTACATGTATATAAAAAGAAACAAGGAAGAAGTGTTTAAAACATCGTAGCACTGGTGAAAAGGTTCACCAAATTGTCGCTGACAGCAAAATGTGTTTATTAGAGGGAATGGAAATTATCGTTTGTTTGGAAATTCATTATGAACAAGATTCGAAGATTGATCATTCGAGCGAAGTTGGCGGTGTTCTGCATACTTCCAAGGCAAAAAGCATTTTGTTTTGCGAGATACTGGCGTAACGTGCATGTGTAAATGCTTTAGTGCTTTAGGATTAATCCTGATACCAATTACAACAAGGCTGAACCTCCAAAGGCCGTGTGAGATTTGTATATACTTTGGTAACTTTACTTTTGTATCTTGTGTAGTATTTTAGTAGCTTTGTATTGGAGTTGCAGTATTAAAACGTTTGGGTTTTTTTAATTTTACATTTTTGTGTCACCTAGATATCGAAATAGCCTAGATAGTAGGATGTAGTAGGATGAATGATCTCCATTGGGGAACGATGGGTATAAGTACATGTTATTCATAATTCAGCAAAACCAAATCAATTTAGTTACTGTACGTCAGTGTCATTTGCGACTTCATACTTAGAATAAAAATTGTAGTAATTAAACTCTATTGAAACAAAATAACATTGTTATTGATAGGGTTGTACTGGAACAAACACAAGTCAATCAGAAAGCATTCGGTCTAAAGTCAGTTACAAGTCATTCAATGGAACTATGACAAATACATTAATCCCATGTTACTTTTCTACTTGTTTGATTGATTTACAACTCTGGAAGTTGCAAGCAGCTTTTGAAATAAAATTAAGAACAAAAAACGAAAGGGCACCAATGCGAAACTGCTTTTGACCACAGCTATACATAATGATGAGGCACTGTTGATATTTTGTGCATTGTATTTGAGAATCAAATGTGTATGGCGGTCACCATTAATACCCAAAAGATATTTAAAGCCTTCACTGAAAAGGGCTTTTACAGAAAATGACATTTGTGTCTGCTAGCTACATTTACCTAACTCTACATTATATCTAACACAAAAACAACAGGTTTGCAAGACTCCACAAGCTCGTCGGTGATATTCTATAAAATACATGCATGTATTGACGTTTATAGAAGGAAATCAATGCATATTTTTGGTCATCTAGTGTTCTTTCTCTTCCTTGACAACCATCATGAGCATCTGGAGCCAGCTTGTTACAGTACCTAAGGGAAAAGAATAAAATACGCAGTAAATTCCCTTCGGTTCTAAAATTCCTCATGTAAACAAGATCCGTTTTAGACCGGCGTTCAGTAGCAGAGACAAGTGAAGTTCGACTTTGTGTCTTCATTTTCTATTGACTTGACTCTGAAGTCGTTCGGAACTACTGCAACAGTCAATTTTCATTTTTTTTTGCGAGTGTGGTTTTTCTAACTGTTTCAAATACCGAAGTTTAAGCAAATCTTCGAAATACCTTAGCACGCTGCGACCCTGGAACGCCAGCTTGAAACTTGTGTCATGACAAGATAATATTGCCTTGGCACTGAAATACATAATACAGGGTGTCTCGCTACAAAACGAACCTGAAATCCCGGCCTCTTTTTCACAGCTTAAAACCAAAATTGCATCGCAAATATCGATGCACATTTAGAGAGTACATTTCATTAGCTTTTCAACACAGAAAAAAGTTGCAGACCGTGTTCTTATTGCGGCAGGCGAAATATCAGTCGCCGTGGACAGAACGAAAAAAACGGTAGTTCAATTGGTCATAACTTAATAAATATTTACCCGATTGGAAAGATTATTTATTGTTTTAAAGCTGTAAAAAAAAGAGGGGGCTTTTTGTGGGACACATTGGTTCTTGTGAGAGAGTACATGTATTTAAAAAATAAATAAAAAATTGTCACCTTCTATTTTAGTGAGCCATCTTGGCAAGCGTTTTGGGTAGACCAGCAGGAAATAGACTGGTATCCCTGTCAGTGTGATACCGACTCCAATAGCGGTGTCTATCGGGGAATCAATGGTCCCTATGACGACGAGGAAGATGGATGCCAACACGAACAAGACGGCGATGATAATGTTGACCTGTCGGAATATCACCATAAACAATGTGTGGGTTGTGGAAATTAATTCTACCTTCTTGCGACTGCAAAGACCTCGTGAGTGCATTATTTAGGCCTACATATTTTATAATGCATCGGCTGAGACTTGTGAGATTCATACACAATCTCAAAGACGTCTGGACCTTAGGCCTATTTCTCTCATGAACGAGACACACTTAAACCATCTTCGGTATACAAAATTACAATACATGTACATCTTTTCTATGAAGAAACCCACGCTATACTGCAGAATAAAGTCCCCGCTAGTTTCTAAATTATAATGAACCTTTGCATCCATAGACTCGCTTCCCATCCTGAATCTGCGCCAATATCAGACTTACCCATGCATACGACCAACATTGAAACCCAAAATCCGAGCGTAATACTTACCTTAAAGGGGCGTGGCTTATCGGGCTCTTTGTAACGGACCCAGATCATACCAGCCACAGCGGCCCCACTCGACGTCCACGTGGCGAAATTGAAGTAATTGATCAGAGTGTAGATATCGTTGGAGAAGGTGAAAATAATAGCCAAGATGGTCTAAAATTGAATGATAAAATCAGTCAATCACAAATATATCAACGGCACGGGAATGAACAGTTTGCTGATGATGGGCTTCTATAAACTAAAGGTATATTTTTATTATTTGCAATAAGCAGGGCAGCAGGTTTCATTTTGGTTTCATCAATTCGGGTATTTTTTGCAGCCGAAAGATGTCAATTAAGATGCATGGTGCAATGATGGTACTTGCTACTTTTCTAAGTGGGTAATATCTCTAAATATGATAGGTTATCGGTCCCATTTCTCCCTGTCCTCTGGCATAACTTCATCATAGTCGTCACTAATACATTACTTAACTCATGTCTATTGGCTTCCCAAAGGGACCATCTTTGCTAACACCCATCTTTGCTTTGAAAGACCCTTTTGTTATTACCTATGCAATTAATTACCAACACTGGCGTGTTTTTTGTTGTTGCAATATTGAGGAAATTATTTCACTCATAAAATTGCTACTACCTCGCAAGTAGACAGTTCCGGCCCACACGCCTACTGTCGAATGGCCCATTTAGGGTCACAGTAACGGACCTTTGTTTCTCTTCTTCTTCTTTTTACTTATTTGAGAATATATCTTACCGTTATGATGACAGACGGAAGAGGAGTCAAGTGCTTGATGTGAATCATGGACATCAGCGAAGGCAGGTGATGCTCTCTCGCTCCAACGTAAAAGATCCTCGCAACCAAAAAAAAAACAACGCCAACAAAAAAATTACATCTGAATCAATGTTAGGTTTGTCACCATTTTTTTTATAAAAACAACAACAAAAGGATTCGAAAAGAAACACAAAATTTAGTTCATATCTCCCCGACGCAAAATTTCATCACACAAACAATTATTATTGAAATACTCGCAATTTTACCTGCTCTATTTTTTTATATGAAAAAAAATAATGATTAAAGCAATGAGCAATGACCAGGAACGATAACTTCTTAAATAAATATATTAAAAAAAATCGAGTGCAAACGAATTACCTGGAGCATGCAAGCATGTTGCCGTTGACAGATCCGAAGTTAGACAGGGCTACAGCGATCGGCATGATCAGGGCAAACCCACCCAGCACCTTGCTACCAAATGTCTGGTTGTATAAAATGCAGAAGTTTGTCAAATTGTTTTAGTTGTGATTATTGATGATGGGTGCTAAACATTGGGAATACCTTGTATGTTGTGTGCCCCTTAGAGACATATAGGACAATTTGCATTTGTCCTAAAAGTAACCTACCGAATTTTTTATCAAAAGTTTACTTGAAGTAAAGATTGTACTGGTATAATAAGCGCCTCGTGAAATAACTCCGTCTGGCGTGCTGTCATTTAGGAGAAATCAAGAAGTGTTGGACTATACAGGGGATTTCCAACGATCAGTCCCTAACTGACGGATTTTTTTCGAAATAAAGTTAAGCTTTTGAAAATTCTTCTTTGGATATTGAGTGGTGTTATTAATGGAAACAAATAAAAAGGATGAAAAGCAAATGTTCCTTTATATCTTTAAGATTCGGCTTTGCCAAAAGAACAATTTTAATGGCGTCCCAATAAAAAATGCAACCAAAACAACCCCATCGACAACACACATTTACGCACACACCCCAGGTCTAAAATTTTCGTGCGGCCAAACAAGGTAGGCCAACTTGTAAAAAAATGCTAGCAGTAACCTTTCAAATATCGGCATTTGCTGTGCATAAACTTAATTTCCATATTAAGCGCGCTGCAGTCAAGAATGCCAGTTAATCCTATAGGCCATATAGCACCCCGGCTTTGTTTAATCTTTTTTGTCAGTTGGATTTTCTTTTTTTGAAGGGCCCATGCTTTGACGCCACCTTTCCTGACAACGAAGTTTTCCTTATTTTTCAAACCGTTAGTTCTTACCACCGCCACTGCATTTGAGGCCAACATTTCCCGCGGCGTCATTGCTGTGAAGTAAGCCACGTTGGCTAGCGTGTAGATGATGGTCACGGAAAACACAGTGATGTAGATTGCCCGTGGAAGGTTCCTGAATGCAAACCAAAAAAACCCATTCCAGTGGTGCTCAAGTTTAAAACAAAACATGATGTTCTTCTCTGTCTGTCTGTCTGTCTGTCGGGCTGTCTGTCTGTCTGTCGTGATGTCTGTCTGTCTCACCATATATTAGTGCACATGACTTCTTTGTAAAGCACTGAGTCTAACATTTTCATCATCCACTCGGTAGTATTGCTATATCCACACCATCAGAATTTGTAAACTGAAAATCAAAATCTTAAAGGAACAATAATCAAACATGATTTTTTTGGGTAGCAAAATGGATATCAAACCTACTTGTTGGGATCCTTCAACTCTTCCGTCATAGTATTCAAACTGGTCCTATAGTGACATTATACAAGCAGAAATATAAAGCAAATCGATAAAGTAAATAAGTAGATAAGTAGATAAAGCAATATAAAGTACCTCGTAAAAAATAAGTACCTCGTAAACTGGTTTGCCTCTAACATATTCAGATAACAATGAAAGTAAGTTCACTGCTTTGAAATCAAAACAGTTGAATTTTGGACTGCAGGTTTTTACTAGTGTATTTAATGAGAGTCTCTTTCTAATGCCACAGATATAAAAGTTGGGTAAAGACAAGGCGAGTCACTGTACCATGATCCCTGGGAATCGAGATGACGAAAGTATTTTCGTCGGATGGATGTTAGTAGGAGATTTTATTGTCTACGAGAAAATGGGTGACGTTGTTGGCGAGATGATTGCAATGGAGGGCAGCGGCATATAGTTTCTGAAAGGAACGCAATAACTGATGTTGTGTGTCTAGACACTGGTATAGAAACCGTCGATAGATTTAAAAAGTTGCAACAATAATGCAAATAATGCAATAGTAAAGTGCATATTATGGTTCTGAGACTCATAATAGTGCATCCAATGTTATACAATGTAGGCTATAGGTCGATTTCAACACTACTGACTTACCATCCTGCGTATGAAAACAAGCCAGAGTACAGAGCATTACCGAGCCCAGAGAACGTGGATCCTTCGAAGGCATTCTCAAAATTCTGGGATTCGCCTACACCCAAAGAAATCATTTCTTGCATTAGAAAACTCGAGTTTATGGCCTGATATGAAGACCTGCTCTTAAATTTAACAAAACCAACGAACTATTTGAACTTTGAATCAGCAATCATAATTGCTGTAAAATGTACCCTTTCGGAGACATTTGTTCGTCATAAGCTATACCTTAGCGAGAGAAGGTAAATTAAGGAGCCTGGCAGTTCCAGGCCTCCCTAATGTCACAACTCCTATTTCGAGGCAAAATGTTAGTGTTGCAAAATTAATAGGCTACAATCCTGGCACAATCTCGCTGGGCCCCAACCCCGGTCCCCGCTCAATGTTGTCTCTCATTGCGCGGTGTATGCTCCATCAGCTGGAGAGAACAACATTGACCGGGGGAGCGGGGGAGTGGGTGACCGTGGCAGGCTCAGGAAGTGTCCCAACCATTTTTGCCGGGATTGTAGATCGTGGTCCAAAATACAATTGTACCTAGATTCGTTTAGGTGGGGTTAAGGTACAACGGGGGTTAAGGGTCATGAACAATGGATTTGTGTGTGCACAATGTCTCCCTAATGTACTGTTATCTGTAATAATAACATTAAAAAAAAATCCAACCACTCATCCGCACCTTGGAATAACTGTACGATACCAGCGACTATGATGATAATCAGTGCCACCACTTTGCAGACTGTGAAAAAGTTTTGGACGAAGGTGGACAGCCGAGTACTCAATACATTGGTCATTCCCAGCAATACTGTGGGGAATAAAAAAAGAACAGAATAAAACACGAACCAAGAGGTCGTGGTGTACTCTTGAGAAATGCGGTTTAAAGAAATTCCAACTTATAAAATATCTTTATTTATAGAGCTAATGGAGCCGATTCAATGTTGGCTTGGTTTGTCAGATCCGAAATGGTCGCGTAGACTCTTCTCTGAATCGACGCTTCTCTGTCGGGATTCCTCATACTTCTTAAACTGGCCAAGTCAAAATGCCTTCTCTATCGATGACTCTTTTCTTCCAAAATACAGAGATCGCAATAATTACAAGAAGTAACGTTCCAAGGGCACTTTGTTTTCGACGTCTAGACCTAGCTATCACGGAAACAAAACATATTTCCGTTGGAGTTTTTCAACCGATATTACAGTTCCCGGATCTCTTAATGTGTTGCCCGAGGATGGGCCGCCCCAACTCACCTGAGACTTCATGTGGAAGGACGGTATGAAGGCCGACACAAACACGGTATTTTTGGAAAACAAGTTAAGAAGTGCGAGTTTAGTATACGACTTACGTATAACGAGAGTTCCCAAGAGTTGAGGCACGATCTGAGGCGGTGGACAGGATGGATCGGGGTAGAGCGGCTGTAGGCAGTAGTTACCAAAAGTCAGCGCTACCACGGCGAAAGCTGACGGCTGAGACATTAGGATTGACATCCACATCAAAAGAAAGGCCGGCAGATCCCCGTAGATCGCCTTAACGTAGGCATAGGTACCCCCAGACGTGGGCCAGGTCGTGCCGAGCTCGGCGTAGCACAGCGCACCGAGGAGCGAGAACACTCCACAGACGGCCCACAGGACCAGCGTGAGCCCCACGGAGCCAGCGCCTCGCAGTACTCCCTTGGGTGAGACGAAGATTCCCGATCCAATGATGATGCCGATGTTGATGGCCACGCCGCTAAAGAGCGAGATCGTACGCTTGAGCTCGACCCTTGATGAGTCGCTGCTCGCCCGACTATTCACGGACAACTGGTCGCGCTGAATCGTCCCCATCTTCAACCGATGTCACTATGTCTCTATTCTAACCATTAATTTTGGTGCCACGCCGAGCAGTACTCCCAAAATGTTAAGGATATTCCAACTCAGTTACCCTAAAGTTGTAAACTTGTGTTGTAAACTTATCTAGATTCTTTATCACAGTTGACTTTAACCCTAAAAGGGCCGGGGGCGGAACCCCCCCCCCCCCCTCGACCATTACGCCCCTTACCATTCGTACATATGAATAATTAATTAGTCATAATTCCAAAACCCTTTGGCCTATAGTCATGAAATTTCTTGGGTATGTTCATGATGAGTTGCTCTATGCATGTACCGAGTTCCAAAATGTTTCGTCTCTCAATGGCCAAGATCTTAGGGGAGGCGGAATCCGGCCCCCCCCCCCCCCCCCCCCCCCCGGCTGAGAGATGGTCAAAATAACCCGGCCTTGTTAGGGTTAAGAGTCGGGTCCATAATGTCAAGTGTCATTTAATATCACTCGAGGAGCCAAAGGTCACTTAACCGACGGTAACTTTACCGTCAAAAGTGCTGCTAACTATGCCCGTATTTGCTTGGTACACTGACGCAGCTTATTTTGAGAAGTCAACACAAAAATCAATTACACCAAAATCGTGGTATGTCATTTTCAACTATATACTACTGTAAAGAACCGTAGCAATTAAACCCAATTAAAAGAACAAGTCAATCCGAAATCATTCGGTCTAAAGTCGAGTTACAAGTCATTCAATGGAACTGCGACAATACATTCCGATACCATTGCTCATGCCATTTACTTCTGCACTTATTATATTGATTTACAACTCTGCAAGTCACAAGCAACTAGTGAAATAAAGTTAAGAAAACGCTACATTATTTTATTAGCATACATCGAAAGAGCACAAATGCGAAACTACTTTGACCACAGCTATACATTACGCTATTAGGCACTATCAATTGATATTTTGTGCGTTGTATTTGAGAATCAGAACAAATTTAACATCCACATTAAGTATGTACGATGTACATGTACTATTACGGCGGCCACCATACCAAGAGGATATTTAAAGCCTTCATCAAAGGGGATTTTGAAACTGAAATTACGTTTGCATTGTGTCTGCTAGTCTTAACACAATGCCCACTTGTGCAACGCTTGGCTCTGTCCAGCCCAAACGCAAAAGTCTTGCAAGACTCCACAAACTCACTGACGATGTTATTTAAAATATAGACTTGTATAGAAGCAAAATCAATGCATAGATTTTGGTCATCTAGTGTTCTTTCTCTTCCTTGACAACCATCATGAGCATCTGGAGCCGGCTTGTTACAGCACCTAAGGGAAAAGAATAAAATACGCAGTAAATTCACTTCGGTTCTAAAACTCCTCATGTAACAAGATCCGTTTTAGAGCGGCGGTCAGTTTAGTAGAGCGACTCTAATCGGAAAATATAATAGATTTTGTTTTGAGACCAGCGAACCTTTGTCTTCGTTTGCTATCGACTTGACTCTGAAGTCGTTTAGAACGACTGCAACAGTCGATTTTCGAATTTGGCGAGTGTGGTTTTAAATAGCGAATTTTATGGAAACCTTCGAAATACCTTAGCGCGCTGCGACCCTGGAGCGACCCCAGCTTGAAACGTGTGTCATGTCAAGATATTATCTTGGCACTGAAATACATAGTTTGTTGTAAGAGCGTATTTAAAAACAAAATAAACATGTGTCACCTTCTATTTTAGTGAGCCATCTTGGTAAGCGTTTTGGGTAGACCAGCAGGAAATAGACTGGTATCCCTGTCAGTGTGATACCGACTCCAATAGCGGTGTCTATCGGGGAATCAATGGTCCCTATGACGACGAGGAAGATGGATGCCAACACGAACAAGATGGCGATGATAATGTTGACCTGTCGGAATATAAAAATGCAAAAAAGAAAATAAAAAAAATATGTTAGTTGTGAAAATCAATTCCACTTTCTGCCCACAGCAAAGACCTGTTGAGTGCATACTGCATTGTTTAAAACTAAATGATACAGAAGAGATGTACTCTCATGAATGTGGCACACTTTAACCGTCTTGTCATGTCTCTCCTATAAAGAAATCCGTGCAGCCGTAGAATAAAGTCCCTTTCAAAATTGTGAAATTGTGATGATCCTTCCTCTGCATCCGAATTAACCCCACCCTGCCCGGCCAAAAGGGCTCTGATATTTGCGTCAGTAGAAAATATTATGATTGAATCGAACTACAGAGGGTAATCCTGCTTTGACTGTTCTGTTCTAAGAGTTCTTTTAAATGAAAGTCGCGTATACGTACATAGACCAGTTCGAGCACCCAAACACTGTACTCTCACAATGACCCCCTTCAATGGCGAATGCATTGTGCTAGCTATTGTTCAGATAATCCTTCATGGGACAGTTGCTTTGTACAATAGTTGGCACAAAGATTTGCCATTGACGAGCTAGGGCCTCCGTGACTCTACAGTAATAGCTTGCTCGGAATGGTATACTGACTGCAAGAATAATTCTCAGGTTAGTTTTGTTACCTGCTTTGGTAAAACAATATACATGTACATGAACTCGTACACAGGACTGACAACCCCCCTAAAACTCGACGTAAATACTCACCTTGAAGGGGCGTGGCTTATCGGGCTCTTTGTAACGGACCCAGATCATACCAGCCACAGCCGCCCCACTCGACGTCCACGTGACGAAATTGAAGTAATTGATCAGAGTGTAGATGTCGTTGGAAAAGGTGTAAATAACAGCCAAGATGGTCTAAAATTAAATGATATATAGGCCTAATTAGTAAACCAAAAGTATATCAACGTCGCGGGAGTTAATATGACAAAGAATGGTTTGCTAATGATGTGTTTCTATAGGTATGATGCAATGAAGGTACTTGGGCAATATCAGTAAACAGAAAATTTATCGGACTATTTTTTTTTACAGAAAAACATCACAGCTAATGATGTCCACTCAAGGGCGGATCCAGGGGGGGGGGCCAAAGGGGGCCATGGCCCCCCCCCAAAACGAAACCAATTTTTTTTTTTTTAATGTGACATCGCAATAAAGGCAGGCAATGAGTACACCACCATCTTTTCCTCAAAAAAAATGGTTAAAGTGGTCAGAAATTGCCTCAGATCGCACCACAGAGCATCTAGAATCCAAAATTTTTTCGGGGCCCTGACGGGCCCCGAACCCCACGCCGTAATTTTTTAGACCCACTTTTTTTGGGGGGGGACCAAATTTTTTTTGGCCCCCCAAAAAAATTGTGTTCTGGATCCGCCCTTGTGTCCACTTAACATACAACAGCCAAATTTGATCAAAAAATAAAGAACCAAAAATCAATTAGACTAAGTAATGAACATTCAACAAATTACATTTAATTAATGAAATATTCACATTTACTTAATTAAATATTCAAAAATTCAAGCGGGACAAAAAGTGATGTGGTTTCTGACCGAACATCTTGACGCCATCCTGATGTATTTCCCCACCCACAACTTCATAGTCATCCACTGAACGCATTACCCTATCTCATGTCTATACAAACCTCGGAATTAAAGACCGTCTTGGATAACACCTTTCTTCGCTCGTATAGGTACATGTTTTTGTGCACCCTATTTTTATTACTTGCTGACATGTTTATTTTTGCAATATGGGGACATTATTTCATTTTATGAAATTGTTCCCACTTCGCAAGTCTCTTATTAGACAGTTCTGGCCCGTGCGTACTGTCGAATGCCACACTCACACTTAAGACTCTCTGTCGGCCAGTTTAAACAGATCGACTTCTTTGGGGCATTTTCTTTCTGTTTTCTTCATTTTCTTTAGTCGACATATATCTTACCGTTATGATGACAGACGGAAGAGGAGTCAAGAGTTTGATGTGAATCATCGACAACAGCGAAGGCAGGTGATGTTCTCTCGCTCCAACGTAAAAGATCCTCGCCGCAAAAAAAAAACACCAACAAATAGTTAATATCTGAATCAGTATTGTGTTTGACGTCATTTAAAAAATAATTGAATTAAAACACCAATATTGAATTGAACCTAATATTGACAAAGAAAACAAACAGAATTCACATCTCCACGACGTGAAATTCCGTCACACCAAAATTTAGAATTTGGTAAAAAAAATCACAATTCCAGCTGTTCTAAAGTTTCTTTAAAATAAAAGAGCAATGAACAACAAGGATCTAACTTCTTAAATATTTTTTTTTCAAGTTTTGGTGCAAACGAATTACCTGGAGCAGGTGAGCATGTTACCGTTGACAGAGCCGAAGGTGGACAGGGCTACAGCGATCGGCATGATCAGGGCAAACCCACCAAGCACCTTGCTGCCAAAAGTCTGATGAAAAAATAGCAATCATTGTGGTAAGCCATTAGTTTGTAAAATACATGAACATGCTTTTTCAAATGCCGATTTTCTTTTCCGAACGAAGTTCAAATGAATAATAATGTCCTGTAACAACTAAACTTGCTTGATTGTATTTGCAGGCCTTTTAAAAGTTAAAAAAAACCTGCTTTTTAAACGCGCACTTCACTTCAGAAAGTTTTGAGCAAATGCTATAAATATTCAAATCTAGTGACGTTTCAGCTATTATGTCAATTTTTGAATCACCCTTTTAAATAGGACACAATCGGCATTTCCTGCAAAAAAAACCTGAAGTTTCATGGGCACGTTACTGACAAGAATGATAGGTGATCCAACGCCCCGGTCTCAACTCTTAAGTAGTTTCTTTTTCTTTTGTGTGGTCCGATGACGCCAACTTTCCTGACAAACACCACATGATCTCCCGGCCTGGTTATATTGATAAACCTTTGTTTTGTCTTACCGCCGCCACTGCTTTGAATGTGCTGTGCATTTGCTGTGCACAAACTTACTTTCCATATTAAGCGCGCTGCAGTCAAGACTGCAGTTAATGCTAGTCCATACTACCCAGGCTGCGATTTTTCTCTCCCAAACGACATCCGCATATGGGTGTACGCTATGGCGTTTTGGACTTTACTTTTCTAAAAACATGAGAAGAAAATATAACATTTGAAAAAAAAAAATGAATTCGAACGTAATGAAATTCTGACACGCCTTTAAAAAAAAAAAATCCTCCCGAAGCCTCAGGTCAGAAACAAACAAGAATTCGGGTACAAAACGGTGATTCGAACCTGCAACCTAGCGGCGCAAAATCACAATCCTATCGACTGAGCTATCATAAAAGTCTTGTAGAGGGCGCTAAACAACGACGTACGTGGATGTAGTTTGGGGAAAGAAAATTCGCACCCAGGCTTTGTTGAATCTTTTCTGTCACTTGGATTTTCTATTTTTATGGGCCTATTACGCCACCTTTCCTGACAACTAATTTTCCTCTTTTATTCAAACCGTTTGTTCTTACCACCGCCACTGCATTTGAAGCCAACATTTCCCGCGGTGTCATTGCTGTGAAGTAAGCCACGTTGGCTAGCGTGTAGATGATGGTCACGGAAAACACTGTGATGAAGATTGCCCGTGGAAGATTCCTTATTAAAAAAACAAATCATGACGCAATATTTTGTTGAGTGGTGCTCACGATTAAAGACATACTTTATATAGAGCCTGCCTTCTCTCTATACGGATGGTGTTTGACAACAGATGATATTAGTGCACATGACTAGGCGTACTTTGTAAAGCACATGCAGTATAACAGTGTATTATCCATCCACTAGTAATGGTTAAAAAAAAAGTTTTAAACTGAAATGCAATAATCCTGGAACGTTCTGTGTTTGTTTTAAAGAAAACGAATATCAAACCTACTTGTTGGGATCTTTCAACTCTTCCGCCACGATATTCAGACTGTACCTACGATGACATTACAAGCAGAGGAGTAAAGCAAATAAAACATAACTTGTAAAGATGTAGCTGATTTAAAAGACAAATTTGTATCGCTGACATCAGACTGTTATTGCTTGTAAATCCTATCGGTTGAACTTTGGACTGCAGGCTTTGAAACTGTATTGACCGAGATTCTATTTCTAATACGAAAGGGTTTTATACAAAAGGGTTTTATTATGTAAAGACAGGTGCTCATCTAGTCATGACCATCATCGCCTTATGGAGGAGGGGCCCAGTGGGAGATTATGGGCGACTTTGTAGATGGGGCGATTGTAAGAACTCATGTTGTGAGCCTATACTCCAAGCTACATCCGCCAGTTCAGATTGTCCAGGAATTTGGGTTCGAGTTTATTGGCTCAACCCTTTACCGGGTCAAAAACAAATTCCGGTCCTCTTCCGTATGAAATTGACCCGGAAAGGTGCCATTTTGATCCGGAAAGGGTTGAGCCCAACAAAATCCGAATTCCGGGTCAACCTTTCTTTTAGAGCTAGTGCGCCAGGCTCGTATACACAACCTGTCGGTGAATGGAATTTGAGTATGGTTGCAACACTTATGCAATAGTCAAATGTAGGCATGTATCATAAGTATGGTTCCGGGACTTAGTGCATTCATCAAGGTACACGGCTCTTTAATTTGATTTCAATAGTTTCTGACTTACCAACCAGCGTAAGAGAATAGGCCAGAGTACAGAGCATTCCCAAGCCCGGAGAACGTCGATCCTTCGAAGGCATTCTCAAAATTCTGGGTTTCGCCTACAATCAAACATAATTTCTTGGATTACCATCGATAGTCCATATGGATAGATGTAGACATGCCTTTAAAATGTTTTAACTATAAAGGCCTATTCGAGATTTTAATCAACTATCTGAAACAAAGATATTATAATAACATAACAACTATTCAATTTCAGAAGGGAATCAAAATCCGACAGTTCGTCCACACCTTGGAATAACTGTACGATACCAGCGACTATGATGATAAGCAGTGCCACCACTTTGCAGACCACAAAAAAGTTTTGAACGAAGATGGAGAGCCGAGTACTCAATACATTGGTGATTCCCAGCAATACTGTAGGAAATGCAAAAGAACACAGTGAAAAATGAAATAAGAGGTCGTAGTGTAGTCTTGAAGGCTTTTTTTTTTTTTAAAGGAGTTTCAACTTTTTAAATCAACTGTCTTGGTGGAGACGTATTATCTCCATACTCTTTGTTTTTTGTTAGGTTTGTCAGACCTTAAGTGGTCGCGTTCACGTTTTTCTTAGTTAAAGTTCTCTCAATGTCGGGCGTCCTCATGCATATGAAACTGACAAATGCCTTCGATAAGATTCTTACTTCCAAAATGCAGTCATATAGCAAGAATTACAATAAGTAATAGTACTTTATAAAGTGCATCCTTTAATTAAGTTTTAAAAAAGCATCCCCCGACGTCTAGACCTATCAAGGAAGCAAAAACATATTTACGTTGAGTTTTTCAACCGATAGTATGGTTCCCGAATTTGTTTTGGGCCCGTGAAGCCCGAAGATTGGCTGCACCAACTCACATAACACTCGATGTGTCTAGAGCATAGGCCTATATTAGAGGCCGACACAAACACGCTATTCGGAAAACAAGTTAAAAAGTGCGACTTTATAGACCTACATATAATGAGAGTTCCCAATAGTTGAGGCGCGATCTGAGGCGGTGGACAGGATGGATCGGGGTAGAGCGGCTGTAGGCAGTAGTTACCGAACGTCAGCGCTACCACGGCGAAAGCCGACGGCTGAGCCATTAGGATTGAGATCCACATCAGGAGAAAGGCCACCAGATCCCCGTAGATCGCTTTAAGGTATGCATAGGCACCTCCAGACGAGGGCCAGGTCGTGCCGAGCTCGGCGTAGCACAGCGCACCGAGGAGCGAGAACACTCCGCAGACGACCCACAGGACCAGCGTGAGCCCCACGGAGCCAGCACCTCGCAGTACTCCCTTGGGTGAGACGAAGATTCCCGATCCAATGATGATGCCGATGTTGATGGCCACGCCGCTAAAGAGCGAGATCGTACGCTTGAGCTCGACCCTTGATGAGTCGCTGCTTGCCCGACTATCCACGGACAACTGGTCGCGCTGAATCGTCCCCATCTTCAACCGATGTCACTGTACTACAAAATGTGTCACTTTACTTCAAAATGTATCACTAAACTGCCCATTCATACCACTCCGAGCAATACTCCCAAAACGTTGATGCTATTCAACGGAACCTCAAGTTGTAAACCAATCTAGGTTAACACTATTGACTTTAAGAGTCGGGTCGGTGCTATGGTGTGTATTAAAATCACATGAGGAGCCAAAGGTCACTTTACCGTCAAAAGTGCTGGTGACTTTGCCCATGTTTACTTGGTACCGGTATACGCTGACACAGCTTATTTCATTCAACCATGTGTGCCAAGGTCGCTTATGAGGTACCCTAACATCAAACTGGCCTGTTGAAAAATAGTTTCGTTCCCAACGCGGCCTGTCAAGGTCGCTATGTACCAACGAATAACGCCACCTGACTTTGATCTTCAGATCCGTATATCTTCTTTACGGATAGCCTACGCATTGAGACTCATCGCCCATCATCATAAAACGATACTAAGGCCAAAAAAAAAAAAGTTTCCGGTTTCTGGTATGCGCGCGCGTCGCCGTAGCCATGCGCGTCGGCAAAATGAAAAAGTTTTTTTTTTCAATACAAGATGATGTCTCAAAACCGCCAAACTCACTGGTTTGACTGGAATCCTGCTGCTGCACAATTTTAACGTGTTTTTAGATGGGGTCATGATCGAGAATAAGCTTTATGTGGCCTCTCTGGACTCCCATATATTTGCACTAAGTTTAGTCGGGCACCATTTGCAGTCATTAGCCGACATTTGAAGCCAAAAAAAAAAAAAAACAGGTAAAAAAAAAAAAAAAAAAGCCGCGTCGCCGCACCACTTTTGGGGCAAGCTCCATACCAGAAACCGGAGACTTTTTTTTTTGGCCTAAAGTAAATGCAACAAAGTACACTTCATGCGAAAATCCTAGTGCCCAAGCGAGTCTCGGTAGATACGATCGATGTGGCAGACATGTGCCCCAAGCTAATGAGGCTCTTACTGCGGTTGATGTCGATGGAGAGTACATTCTAGTTCTGTGACCTATTCCCCGACCCCCTAAAGACATAGACAGACTCTACAGTGCGAGTAAAAAAAACCTATACACTTTTAAAATTGGCCATAGTTTTATTCTGTAGTAATAAAGATAAGATATTTTCATTTGTACTTTTAGAGTAGGCCTAACTCTTTCTGCTTCTTTTGGTGACATTTTCACTGGATAAAAAAAGCGGACTACAAATTAAGCAGCTCATGATATGAAGATCGTGTCAACAATTATTAGTTTCGAACCCTTTTATGTTTAAAAGTGACCTTTTGTAAATACACGAATAAGTTTGTACAACCAAAGTACGGTACTGTATAAATACTGCAGAGTATAGTCCAGTGCAGTACGCATTTTGAGGTTCCATAATACAATACTCAGCTGTCATGGAACAGACCTATGGCTGTATTTTTGTTCAGTGCTCCGAATGAACAGATAGCAACGGTAAGATGGGGATGATTCAGCGCGACCAGTTGTCCGTGGAAAGTCGGGCAAGCAGCGACTCATCAAGGGTCGAGCTCAAGCGTACGATCTCGCTCTTTAGCGGCGTAGCCATCAACATCGGCATCATCATCGGATCGGGAATCTTCGTCTCACCCAAGGGAGTACTGCGAGGCGCTGGCTCCGTGGGGCTCACGCTGGTCCTGTGGGTCGTCTGCGGAGTGTTCTCGCTCCTCGGTGCGCTGTGCTACGCCGAGCTCGGCACGACCTGGCCCTCGTCCGGAGGTGCCTTCGCCTACCTCCGAGCCATCTACGGGGATCTGCCGGCCTTCCTTTTCATATGGATTGGCGTAGTGATGGTTTTGCCGTCGAGTTTCGCAGTGTTGGCGCTGACGTTCGGTAACTACTGCCTACAGCCGCTCTACCCCGATCCATTATGCCCACCTCCCCGGATCATGCCTCAACTCTTGGGAACTCTCATTTTATGTAAGTAAACTAATATAATAAATTGTAATGCTCATCATATTTCTATCGCATCAACAAAATCGTGGCCACAAGACCACACAGCCGACATCAGCGCACATTTGGTCATCTACCCTCACAGGTGCCCATTCATACTCCTGGTTGGAGAGAGGCAATTGTAGTTCAGTGTCTTGCCCAAGGGCACAAACGGCACGTTCCTGGCATGACAGGGTTCGTAGAATGCTTAAATCTGGGCGGTCAATCTTCGCTCCGCACCATTAATAACCTAATATAATTATGGAAAATAACGGCTATAGCATCTAAATTGCTTAGTAAAATCACCATTATTAACGGTCCCACCCAATTTATAATATACATTGGAGGAAGTCGCAGAGGAGTAACATTTGGTGGTTGGCGAAGGTGGGCTTGTAGTTGAAGGCCCTTCTAAAAGTCAATTATAATTTTGGCTTCTTTCCATTTCGTATAGTATTCGGTTTACCAGTTTACCAACTAATGTAGACCTTTGGTGTATGGCGAGGAATATGAAGGCACGTCTGTTTGTCATTACGGATAAACATGGATATATTCCCCAGCAAAACTAACTTGCCATACAGATCACATCATGACCTCTTTTTCATGTATTTGTGTTCTTTTTCATTTCCAGTATTGCTGGGAATCACCAATGTATTGAGTACTCGGCTGTCCACCTTCGTCCAAAACTTTTTTGTGGTCTGCAAAGTGGTTGCACTGCTTATCATCATAGTCGCTGGTATCGTACAGTTATTCCAAGGTATTTGAAAATAATTGCTGCCCCCCCCCATGTCCCCCTCCAATATTCCATATTATAAGCTTGTTTCGAAAGGTGTTTTAAAGTCAAATGGCATTTACGATTTCTTAACCAACGTACGAAATAATAAATCAGCCTGTGATAGGCCAGTATGTCTTACATACGCACTTGAGATTTTTAATTCTTAGAAATAATTTTTGATTGTAGGCGAAACCCAGAATCTTGAGAATGCCTTCGAAGGATCGACGTTCTCCGGGCTTGGTAATGCTCTGTACTCTGGCCTATTCTCATACGCTGGGTGGTAAGTCAGAATTGTTGAAATCAAATTAAAGACCTGTTTGCTTATTCAGGATGGTAAGTCTGACGGGAAATGTTGGAATCAACGGGCCGAGTTATGGATTTCTTGATTTCTGTATTATGTATGTTGCGTGCTGCTAGTATGTTTTACATCCCTATATGGTAATGTTTAAGAAACGGATAAAGAACTGGTATCATTCATCTTTTTTTTGGTTCAAAATCGTTTCAACTACATGTAGTTTATTACTTTTTTGTTGCACTCTATATTCTTTCTTTATTTAATGACAGGTCCAGTTTGAATATTGTGGCGGAAGAGTTGAAGAATCCAAACAAGTAGGTTTGAAATTTAATGTAATCGGGAAAACTCGCTTTTAGGGTGGAGTCAAGTCTAAAATTCAATTTTAAACAATTCTGGAAGGAGTGTCTTTTAAGCTTTAAAGTTGAGAACTTTGGTATTTATTGTTCACAAGGAAATGACGTCCTCCATATATATATGACCATTTGAAGAAAAAAAAAACGTTTATGAACCAATTTTAAATGGAAAAAGGACGAATTATTGTAAATTCGTAGAACTAACACCAAAATACACAAACGGAGACAAGAGTCTTGTATAAATAATAGCATCGCATGTTTTAAATCAGGAATCTTCCACGGGCAATCTACATCACCGTGTTTTCCGTGACTATCATCTACACGCTAGTCAACGTGGCCTACTTCACAGCAATGACACCGCGGGAACTGTTGGCTTCAAATGCAGTGGCAGTGGTAAGAACAAACGTCTAACGAGGGAAAGATGAGCTGTAGATGTCATATCCAAAGAAGACAATTCTCGGCAATTAGCCTATAATAAACCTAGTCCCAGACAAGTCTAAGTCGCAGGTGACAGTCAGTCATTGAGTCAGTAGGGTGGGTACAAGAACACAAGGCTGGCCCTCTTCGACTAGCAAAAATCCAACTAAAAAATATTTTGAGAAAAAAAAAAGATGCAGGGAGTGGCTTTGAGTAACATTAGGGGCTAAACATTCTCTTTGGCGCCCACTGGTCTCTATGACGCTAACAGTCTATTTACAATACTTTTCATGATATAAATTATATATAATACTTTCTGTGTCTTACTACTGTGTATGAGTAAGAACTTGATTCTTTGGCCCTTTTAAACGACGCCTATGGAACACCATGCTTCCTTTGCTCCAAACCAGTCAAACTTCCTTTCCCCAAAAAATATAGTACCGCTCCGAGCCACACTTTTGAAACTACTGTTTATGTTCTTGTTACCACCAGACTTTTGGTAGCAAGGTACTGGGTCGGTTTGCCTTGATCATGCCGATCGCTGTAGCCATGTCCACCTTCGGCTCTGCCAACGGCTTCATGCTTACCTCCCCCAGGTAATTGAAAAATAGTCTATTTAGTATTCATTTACGTCACAAATTATGCATCTTAATTTCCATGGTCATGTAAAATGTTGTGTCACAATCCATATCTAATGGCTTATACGGGTTTCGGTGTTGTTTTGGTAAAGAATATTTTACGTTGGAGCGAGAGAGCATCACCTGCCTTCGCTGTTGTCGATGATTCACATCAAACTCTTGACTCCTCTTCCATCTGTAATCGTAACGGTAAGTTGACAGATACAGGCCACACAAAAGAAACTTCTTTTATCCCGAAATTGATAATAACGTTACGTCAGTACCTCATCTGGTCTAAGAAGCCTGGACCTTCCTTCGGGTGCCAAAGATGGAACCCGACAGTTGGAACTTGCATGTGACTCTGCTTGGAACAAATATATGTTACTCTAAATTTCAACTCTGCGAGCGGAAACCCACAGCTCATCTGCTTTATGCAAAACGAATACCAATTTACAAACGGATATCATTTTGTTGTCATGATGCACTGCGAAAATGATAATAACTGTACTTGGTTGCAGTGCCTTTACCTCTTTTTTTAAATTTCATTGTTACCTTCCTCCTGCAGGTTATCCTGTCGGTTATTTACACCTATTCCAACGACATCTACACTCTGATCAATTACCTCAGTTTCGCCACATGGACGTCGAGTGGGGCCGTTGTGGCTGGTATGATCTGGGTCCGTTACAAAGAGCCCGATAAGCCACGCCCCTTCAAGGTTTGTCAGAAGTTAATGTCTTGGTATAAGCCGTATACACATTTGTATAGCCGTGTAACACCAATTACTAAAGAAGCTAAAATTATTCTGACGACTAATAATTCCATTATTGTACAAAAAAAGTAGAGAAGATGTTTAATAGTCGAAGATGTTATTCATCGTGGTAAAAAAAGCCACCGTTGGGGTCTATAGTTTTCTGTGTATTTCTATCAATAGACCCTTTGTTAATGTTCTAGACGTCACATCAGTAAGCAGGCATCTGTTCCGCTGTGATATGCATGAGAAGACAGCTAATTTGTATTTTCACTACTGGATTTAAATTTGTAAAAACTGCCCTCAGTGAGGGGGCACCGAGCAATATATTTCAAGCCATAAACCAACAATTTTGTATTTTGTACCCGGACAGGTCAACATTATCATCGCCATCTTGTTCGTGTTGGCATCCATCTTCCTCGTCGTCATAGGGACCATCGATTCCCCAATAGACACCGCTATTGGAGTCGGTATCACACTGACAGGGATACCAGTCTATTTCCTGCTGGTCTACCCAAAACGTTTGCCAAGATGGCTCACTAAAATAGAAGGTTCGCACAGGAAAATTCAAGTGTTCCTCTGTCAAGCACACAGGACAGAAACTGGCATGAAATGCCCAGAATTGATGGTTAATGCAGATGGAGGATGTGGGCATATTACCAATCCTGGGGAGGGTAAGGGGTGCCAGTGTTAAAAAAAAAATTCACCTTGAAAACGTTTTTAGGTCATTTGAACTGCCAATATTTACCTGTAAACACTGAAGCATAAGGTGGAATTTGTACTTCCATTGTACTTTTGCTTGGTCAGTAACGTGTCGTGTTGTTTCTTTATTAGTTAGTTTGTTTAGAAGGCTATAATTCGTGTGTCCAAGAAATAGAACAGACACATTGCAATGGGGTTAAACCACCACTGTGGATATTTATAGCAGTAGGCCTGCGCCACATGCAGTACACAGAATGGCTAAGATCAGATTTCACACTTGCTGTGTTTTGTCTTCTTTTTACCTCTTTTCAAGATGCCGTCACAAGCCGACTACAAATGCTTCTGCTGGTTGTCAAAGAGGAAAAGAAACAATAGAAAACCAAAACCAGAGCAGCGATATCCCTTTAGGAGCCAACAGTATGCATTTGTCAAGCCACGCACCTTATATATTTTGATTTTACAAGAGATAGAGTTCTGATGTTGCAGTACAGTTCATTGTCATAAACAGTTACAACTTACAGGAGACAAATATAATGTCACATATTCTTCTTATTACTAAAAAACCTGTTTGTTTCCGTATAAACATGTTTTGGCCTAAGCTGTAGAGCCATAATTATCACCATTTGATAGCTTTAAAATGTACAAACTATCAGCCCAGTGGGAGTTACATTTTGGCAGACAGATTGCCAAACCATCTGACACTGCAGGCAACCCTACCGAGGGACTATATGCTATATTGGTACCAAAATTCAGAGAGTGCGCATTGCTTAATGGTAAACTGGGTTGGCTCGTCATAATTGTTAGATCAGATGCAAACCTACCTTATTTCCATTGGTCCACGGTGTCATGTGTGGTTTAGCAGGTACTACATGACTGAAGCTGGCAAACAGCTGACGGGCTGACAGGATGGTGAACCACTGACGGGTTTGTGGATGGACGACATTATGATGCTGACAAACAAATCTCCTGGAACTGAGAACATCAAAAAATATCTAAAAAGATGGATTCACTAACTAGGATGATCAGCTAAGGCCCTTTGAAATAAATAATTCAACACTCTAAAAGTAATGATGTGTGGCGGTTGGGGGCTTGTATTTCAAGTTTTATGCTATTTGCAACAGATCTTCATTTAAAGAACAAAATCACCACACTGCACTTCATTAAAAAATAAATCGTCACACTGCAATTCAGTTAAAAAATATCATCACTTTGCAACATTTGGACAAAGTATCCTAACTGCCAGCCTTCTACAAAATGTATACATTGTGTAGGACGAGTCTGCTGGGTGCTTGATTTATTTCTATAATTTGATAGTTCCAAGCTAGTATAGACTATTTCCATTTCCCTGGCCCTATCATCCATGTAAACTAAAAGTTGTAGAATTTTTCTGACTCATGTTTATCTACTGCACTGGGCCTGGGCATGTGTCCTTAAATTTTGCACACTTAATTGTTCACTAAATATAAGCGTACAGTTTACGTACACAATCTGCACTCCATGATCTACAGAGGTAAGATGGATTCACATCATAATGGCATATTTTAACTTCAGATAAATGTAAATTATGTCTTAGATTTAACAATTTAAAAAAAATGAATGTGAAATGTGTAATATTTAAGCTAAAGTATGTGCATGTTACTTAAAAAAAAAAAATTGATGTCCCTAAACACGGTGCGGTCCCTAATGTGGCAAACTTTGACTTTTTACTTCTAGCTCTAGTGCCTTGCAAGCCAGTTCCAAGACTATTGTTTCCAATCAGATTTAACAGTAAGTGAAACTTCATCAAGCTCTACAATCATTCTGGTCCATTAAACCTTGAGTTCACCTTTCACATTACAATGTCAATAGAGAGAGATTTTACTTTGGTGTGATTTTCAACTGTACCTTTTGGTGAAGAGCACATTGGCGGTATAGACTAGCACTTGCCTAATGTTAAACTGCGCGCTAATTAAGGTTTCTGCCGGTATATATCTGACATGTCTGGTGGAATAATTCATAGTCTCCATCCATATTTTTGGAATATCGATTTTCTCTCTAAAATCTGAATAAAGGTCCTTAGTTAGAGTACACTTTCCAAGAGCACTAGTGCTCATAGGCATTCGTTAGGTATGGGCTAGCAGCAGCGTAGCTACGTAAGAAGTCGCCCTCCCACTGGAAATTTGGCTACGTATGCCAAAACCAGAACCAGAAGATGGTACCTGGCTGATCAGAAACAGACATTCCATTGATTTGTCAACAGACGTTTTATGACTATATCATGAGCACGTTTTTATTACTGCATTTCAGGCTATAATTTTTATTAGTAAATTGATCAATGCTATCTGACATGATCTGACAAAAATCCCCCCAAAACGGAATACCGCAATTTACGACGACCAACCACACATACAAGTTACAACACATATCGTATGATCATAGGATGGAACGCCGTATTATCGCGGTACTTATCACGTTTCTCGTTCAGAATAGAGATTGCCCACTAACCTTCCAGAATTGTCCTGTCTTATGTGTAGTATAACTCTTCCTTTTTAAATTAATATTAAACAAATCTGACGGGTGGTGTGGTTTATTCCGTGTACGATGCCTGTGAAAATAGACATGCGCGGAGTGTGCGAACGGAGGTGGACTCCCTATTATCGCGGTATGCGGGTTTTATAATGATCCCAACTTTTTTGTTCATAGTTTATGTTTGACCAAAACACCCCCTGAATAAAGTCTGATATTTTCCCTGTAACGTTCAAGTTGATTAAAGACAAAATGTCTGCAGGATGATTTCTTAAGACCCTGCCCTTCCCCCGAAAAGAGAACACAAATCCCTGAGGCAAGTCTACTGATCGGCGATTGAGGGCGCCATTCACTTTACACGGTGTGCCGTTTTATTTTCGCTAACGCGCGGTGCTTATTTTGATCCCGTAAAAGTTGTTACGATTTCGTGCTGCAAATATCGTCGTTCGACTTCATTTTACATTTGCAGCTGAAGAATGGGAACCAGACAATGGAACTTTCATGGACAGAGCGCAATTAAAGATTTATGTTAAAATATAAACGGTACCTTTTAGCAGACACGGTGAGGGAAAATTTTGCAAGTTTTGGAAAACGTTAATATTTATTAAAATCGTTAAAAGTCCCGAAAGACACAACATTTTTTAATCGTCCTTTTTATACAACTCGGTAGAAAATCCTTGATGACTGGTGAACTGGATAAAAATCGCCGCTTGAAGGAATTTTGACACTGTAAAAAGAGAAATTTCCCATGCCGCGATAATGGGGATGCCGCGATAGGGAGTCCGACTATACATGTACTTAGGCTAGGCCTAAGTATGATACGCCTTCCAACCACTAGTCCATGGCTAACGTTATTTTTTGCCAAACGCACTACACAAAGGCTAAGGAGATGCGAATTAGGCAAGCATGGTATATTCCCCGATATGTGTATCATTTCAATTGTTGAAGTACCAGAGGAAAAGACACTAGAATACGGGAAAGAGGATTTCTCTAACCTCACCTTTTTTCTCCGCACCGACAACGTCCTCTATTGATCTAATGGACAGCGCCCTCTCTTTAGCTAATTAACAGCGCCCTCTGTTGATTAAATAAACAGCGCCCTCTATTGATCTTAAACAAACAGCGCCCTCTAGTGATCATACAAACAGAGCCGTGACTCAATAAATAGCGCCCTCTATAGTTGTAACCGATGGCAACTTCGCCGGGCTTGATCAATAGCGCCCTCTCGAGTTCAACCAATTCGAATGCAATGCCGCCATCTATCGACCAATGACAGTTAGTTTTTTTCAAATAAAGTGCAACAGCGCCCTCAATTGAGACGATATTGCAATGTTCTTCTGTTAATAATTAAAAAGGCAGGAATCAATAGAGAATGGCACCCCTTTTGATCCCATAAAGCAGGATAAAGGCAAGAATAAGCATGTGATATTAATGTTTGTGCGCAAGCACCCTAAATTTTTGTGCATTTATTTTCATTTACCGCCCTATACAAGGACATAAAAATTCACAAAATTCAGTAAATAAAAAGTTACATATAAACAAAATAAAGTGCCATAAATTGTCCAAGATGGTAGACGGATTATTCCATTTCTCGACTCTTTCGCTGAAACAAAATTGTGCCCAAAGCAGCCGTCACCCTTTCTTCCTTGTTACAATTTTGTTTGAATAAAAGGCACTTAATTGAAAAACTTTACAAAATATACATCTCAATTTATGTATGAATTAAAAATGGTTTTAAAAAGAGTTGGGCAAGAAAAAAGACAGTCGGCGGGGACGATTTGTCTATATTGCCCCAAACCCCATGATGTATGTTTTTGTCATTTTTGAGAACAGGTAATTTGTTACTTAACACATTTTGTTGAAGAACACTTCCAATGAACTTCTTATTCACAGTTAAATTATCAACTGTCCAATTAAAATGTGACATTAATTTAAACAAATTTCACCATCTAAGTGAAAGAAGAAACACATTAGAGACAATAAATTAACATGGCTTTGTCAAGTGGTGCATTTTCAATTTTATTAAAATAACAGTTACATCATTGATGCACAGTTCTATTTAAAATAAAACATTGGCTAAATCAGTCATTTTAGAGAGTTCAGTTAACCTAAGAACAAAGGAAAAAAATACTTGGCATTTGTGTACAAGTTTAAAGTTTTTCGTAATATACGTTGTATGTACCCAACATAAATGACTATGTTTATCACTACTTTTGTCTGTCTACAGGAGAACACTCTCTTCTTTTTACACTGCAGGGGAAAAAAACATGTTTATCATAATTGTTACAATATTAGAAACAATTACCAAAAAGCAATGCTTAATTTCTGCCCTTATCCATCATGGCAGTAATAAACTATTGACATCAAATTTGTTTTCATTCATGCAAAAAACAGAAATACAAACACCAACATGCAAAGGGACATACTATTTTTTTTTTTTTAAATGTCTACATATTTGTACAACATCATGGATCCTCCAATCAGCTGTCATTTCACATAGCACACAACTGATGCACCAATTAAATATCTCCATATGGATCAACGTCATCATTTGCTGCACTGATTGGCCGTTCTCAGATTACTTAGCTTAGTTTACTCCGCTTGAACCACTGCTGTTGTTATTGGAGTTGTCCCCAGTTCTTTCCAACGCTGATTGACACTGGCAGAGGTACCTGCGACAAAGTCCAAAGAACAGTTACCAGACCAAGTTTGCTATATTAGAGGAGTGTTACAGACTTGTGGTCTGGAACCCAGAACCCAAGATCTGTGGACATTCTGCAATTCTGCAGTGTTGGGTAATCATGAGGTTTGTGGGTACAGCACCAGCCTGTGGGCCAGCAGTGTGTGTGTGTCCTTGGGCATGCCACTTTATCACTATTTGCTTATCTCCAGAATGGGTACCTGTGAGGGCAAAGAGGGTTATTGTGTTTGATTTTAGCCAACTGTGTTGCAATCCTGTTCGTAAGTGTGACGTCATCTCAATTCAACCATGCGTACTTCACACGGTGTAGCATAGCACAAATTGAACCGGAAGTTAACGCAACTCGAGCGTTTTTCCAACTGGCGCTAGTAATCAGCGGTGCCTGTATGACGTTTTTACTAACGAACCGGATGGCAGCATCCAGCAGTACACTCCCTGGCGGAGCTGAGGCAGTTTATTATCTTTCGAAAAGAAGCGCAAAGCAGAAGGGATTTGTTTGCTTGTCTTGCTTTCTAAAACAGTAGATCATTTTTGGTTTTTTACAGAAAAGATCCCATATGAACTTTTATGGGCTTGGTGCTGCCAAAAGAAATATTGCTTGAAGAAAGTATACCTGCAGCTGAACATGTGAACCACAGTGAAACTCAGTCACCTCCATTGCAGACTTTACAATACCTGAAAGAAATCAGAAACGATCTTCATGGGAAAGAACTTTTTCAATTCTAGGGCCTTCCAGCACTGATATGCAAATATAAATACTTTTCTTTCCAATTTTTCCAAAACGAGATTCTGACAAAATCAAACTCAAGGTTTTAGATACAGCTGGATAGGAACAAAATGAAATCTGTTTTTATGAAAACTTGGAAGAAGTCATGAAAATGATGTCTTCAAATTGTGGTGTTTTTTTCTACGCCATGTTCATGAATTGCCTTAATCAGCACATCAAATCAATTATGGACTTGACACTAAACATTTCTGATTGGAACCCAACATTTATTTCTAATCCATCCAGGTTCAACGGAAATCCACCACAAATAACAAGAAGATAGAAACTAAACAAATATATGCAAAGTTAGTTGCCGCACTGACCTTTGACCTCTTCAACATCGGGTTCAGCGACCTCTAGCAGCAACTCGTCATGAATCTGGACCGCAAGTCTAAAGAGAGAACCCCTTTAATTAAACAATCGGCAAAACCGCATAATGTCTAAGCTAGAATATTGACTTGAAACAGGTCATGTACATCTTGTGTTTTTGGTGGAATGTATTGTCTTATATTTTCAGTTTGATGATGAAAATTGTGAGGCTGATCTGAAACTTCAATGATATGAACAGGATGATATCTAGGATGACTGTATAACTACCTTGCGTTGAGATGAGGTCTGGCTGCCAAGGCATGCACCACTTGGATCATGGCCACCTTGCATATGTCAGCAGCAGACCCTATCACAATGACATCAATGAGAAGACAATGACATCAATGACAAGACAATGACTTCAATGACAAGACAATGGCACTTTGAAAATCACTGCTTGGATCATTGCCACCTTGCATATGTCAGCAGCAGACCCTATCACAATGACATCAATGAGAAGACAATGACATCAATGACATCAATGACAAGACAATGAGTTCAATGACAAGACAATGACACTTTGAAAATCTACGGTTGGATCATTGCCACCTTGCATATGTCAGCAGCAGACCCTATCATAATGACATCAATGAGAAGACAATGACATCAATGACATCAATGAGAAGACAATGACTTCAATAACAATACAATGACACTTTGAAAATCACCGGTTGGATCACTGCCACCTTGCATATGTCAGCAGCAGACCCTATCATAATGACATCAATGACAAGACAATGACATCAATGACAACACAATGACATCAGTGACAAGACAATGACTTCAATGACAACACAATGACACTCTGAAATCAGGAGTACTCTTCGTAAACTCTCAATGAAAATTGTTTCAAAACTCTTGCTCTTTCAACGCGAGTGGCCACAGTACTGATGCTACTACCCCTGACCAGCAAGTCAAACGCCATTCCTTGCTGCCACACAAAAGCTGAATATTGAATGCTCTCGCAATGTCTGAATCAAAAGATTCTTAACAGGCTACAAAGTATACAGCACCACTCCACCACACTCAAACAAATTTAGCATTTTTTTTTTGTCAAAGAATCTTTGTGAGATTTCCAAATTATATACAACCTGGGATTTTATACTGTTTATATGACTGGGATTTCTATTGCTAACCGGTTAAGGTAAATTAAGATACAACCAGCCTAATTATAAACTGTGTGGTGTTTTCTGCAGAAACGATTCTTTGAAAGAAATTATTTCCTTTACTCCAAGTTTGGACAAGGAATTTTTGGCTGCATTGTTGTATGGACCCCGTGTACAAGTACTCCCTTAATCTGGCTGTTGGTGCAAAGTTATGGTGGAAGTTTCACTTACCTTGCACCACAAAATTGACGCACTGCCTCTCAGCGTGCGAACGGATGTGAAAATCGACAGAGTTGATGTTGGGAATGAGACGTCTCCGCCTGAAGATGGTCTGAACGAAGCCGTGCCGCTGGCAGCAGGAGATACAGGTCTTTGTAAAAGAACTCACTCCGCGAAACGTGCCTGGATTGAATAGATAAGCAGAGACTAATGAGAACCTTATGCATATTCATAGATTAGTACTGGCATAGGATTGGTCAACTCCTACACTTTTCTTTGAAGACTTTTACCTCGAGCGGTAGCTTGTAATGGGCGACTTCCATGAAAACATAAATAATCACGGAGGCTTTTCTGGAATGTACACACACTTACTGAGGAAACTTCTGGTGAATGACTTGGCTTCCTCTCTGCTCACACCAAGAGTCTCTGCCAACTTATCAGGTCCTGTAAAGGAAAATTATAAAGTGGTCCTTCAATTATAGCCTTCAATTAATAGGCCTTTGACCTTCACTTACTTGCTGTCTGAGAGATTAAGGAAACTGCAAGCTGAGTCAGGCGGGATTCTAACCATGGCCTCCTGCTTTACTAGAGAAGATGTTGTACCATTGACCACTCCTTACCACTTGGTTGTGAATGACCCTGACGCAAAATTCCCAAGAAAGATAATGCATTTGTTTTTTATGTGCAAAGAGCGGATTGGACAGCAATGGTTGATACTTTATGCATGTGTCAGATGTTATGTCCACATTCTCTTTCCTGCAGTATTTACCGTTCTGTTCTCATTACCGTACCATCAATAAAGACTGTGACAAGTTACAAGACACCAGTGCACACATGAAATGAACAGATAGGAGATAGCGTACATCACACACTGAATTTGACATCCAATCAATGTCAAATTTTATAGACAATTTTGTCATAAACATTTGGGTCTATGTGAATCAAGTGTCAATGCACTAGATTACCGTTCTGCGAATTGTACACACTATTTATGAATATTGTATCGTGCATCATTGAATTTTTTTATGTCACATATACTTTTAAGGGGCATGCAGGGAAACAAAATATCAAGATGCAGGATAGAGCTGTCTGTAGAAACACACATTTTATCAGCATGGATGTATTGAAGATAAAGAAAAGAGAATGGGTGAGCAAGATAATATTGACATGAATTTCATTCTGCCCTGCTGCTCACTTACCAACTCCATAGATGACTGAGTACACTATCCTCTTAGTCTTCTCCCTCTCTGCACTGGTGACACTAGCCGTGGGTACACCGAGCCTACAGGATATACAGACACATGAGATAATGTCAAGGTGAAGGCTGATCAAGCAACAGGTAGATCAAGCCATGTGTGTGAATGGCATCTATGGGTCTGATGAGCCATATTGGCTTGAGAGAGACTTTACTAAATAAGGGTAAACGCTTACCACTGGGACGCCAACTCAACAAAGATATCCGTGCAGTCCTGCTTATTGAACGCTCGCACTAGGACGGGATCATGGGATAGGTGCGCTAGGAGACGCAGCTCGATCGACTGGAAATCTGTAAGGTTGATAAAAAAAATCCAGGATTGTCAAAGATAGTATCACTTTCCTAAGTATTTGTTTTCCGTCAAAACAACAGAGCCGTCTGGGCACCTCGGTGGTCGAGCGCAGGTTTTTACAATGACAATTTATTTTTTGACAAAAAGGACTATCTTGGCGAAAGTTTCCCAATTTGAAGTTTGTGATGTTACACAAGTGAAAACAGAAGGTATCCATTCAAGTTTTGGGTTTTACATTTCTTGAACTGATATACTTCTATAATTCCAAAAATATATCTCCTCTAGAGGCCACACTATCTGGGAATTGGGATTATAACTTTACAAAAAGCTGAGACTTGAAGAAAAGAATTATTTTTTTGCTCGCATTTTCATTGCAAGATCTGTCTAAAAAAGTGTCTTGTTTTGACCAATCTGTCCTATACTCACAAGATTTTGGCTTTGCTTTGAAATTGGACCCTTACTATAAGCTCTTATATTTGTAGCTTATGGACAAAGTGAGAACAGACAGGTCCTGTGTCAATGCCGGTTCATGCTCGCTCAGAATGTGAACGCGAACGTGAATTTGTGACAGCACGGCAAGTAATCGCGCTGCAAAATTTGAGCACATGGCGATTTTTGGCAGCGAATGGCTTGCAACATCCACCTCACTTTGCATTCCTACTTGCGAGAATTACACGGTGGTCCAAGGAGAGACATGTTGAAAATGTTTTCAGATATTCCTAAACTACAAGATCCTGGTGGTATATGGTAAAAACAGCGCTGAAAATAAAGCTCAAATTAAGAAATGTCGGCCATTTACAGAAAAAATTGTCAAAAACCAGTTTGTCAACACGCAAGTCTATGAGACATGGTCAGCACAGTGGCACTGTGTGCACAAAGTACTACAATAACGAGACCATATCTCATACATGCGTGTGGACAAACTGGTTTTTGACAATTTTTTCGGTAAATGGCTCCCATTTCTTAATTCAGGCTTTATTTTTAAATGCGTTTTCACCATACACCACTAAGATTATGTAGGTTAGGAATACCTTAAAACAATTTCAAGATTATTTTGAGAAATGTGCATCTGTCTCTGAGAAATTGTAAATTTTCCAACAGGTTTGAAATTAACACTATGATTTCTCTGATACAGTATTGTTACAATTCATTACTATCCAATAATATGGATCGATTTTTTTGGAGTCGCATGGCAACCACAACATATTGGTACTTGTTAACTTAACCTGTTTATTGCCGTTGCCTTGGTGACTGGCTTCTGAAGATATAAAGACAGAGACATGCATCGGAAACAGGATGCCTCATGACAACAAAGAAAAGGCTGACCTTGGCCGCAGACAATAGTCAAATTACACTTCAAATTGCTCATATCACTCAGAATTTGGAAGATAGCATCGCAAGAAATTAGCTTTGAGTCGTATAGCATGAGATGAATTTTGATGATAGAGGACGTTGCCTATTGATTTTGACCTTCAATTTTCAAACTCAAAAAAGCCAAACTTCCCGACAAAGTCTATACATGTACATGCTTTAACTTTTTCAGCACTTCGTTTTTCTCTGTGAGAGAGGAAGAAGCAGTACGGTCAATTATCATCACATGAAGGAAGGAACAAGACGTTGTGTGATATTGGTAAAAGTTACACTCTCCTCCTGTGAAGTCAACCAAGACTCAAGGGAAGACTTTCCAGAAGGGTGCACAGAAAACAAAGAAGACTCCTCAGAGAGGATCAGTTTCTACAATTGGAAAGAATCAGCTCTTTAAAATCGCCAGTGATCAGACGTGAAATAGACACCAGAATTTTCCAGCTCAGCAACAGCAGCATGTGATGGACACTGACATTCAAGGGTCGCTGATTTCGACTAACTTTTTGGGCCCGAATCGCAGATCAACAGACAAAATGAAGGTGCAGAACATCTTACCATATCAAGCAAAGAAACTTTATCTCCACACTGCGGCAACAGACACCTTCAATACTCTTGTGAATGTTCCTTGTCGTTTTCTGATATAAACATTGTTACTAAATGAACCAGTAGCAGAATCTCAATGGAGCTGAACAGCACTTCATCTCCTACGGATCCTTGGACCATTCCAACATTTGCCAGAGCGTGTTTCATTGCAGGTGCAATAATCGTCTCTCTCATTTACCTCTGGATCATTTTCTCTGTCCTTTTCTCCCGTAGACTCAGAAATCCATCCAATTATTTTCTGGTGAGTTTATTTCTTGATGAGTTACTCTGTACTGTGACATTGGTAATTATTAGTTCCGTGTTTCTACAAAATGATTTCAATTCTGTTCACCTAAAAACAACAAAACTGATGGTGGTCGTCACCGCAGTAACAACTCTTTACGGCTACTTTTTGAATTCGGCCATTGTGGCTGCCGACAGGTACTTCAAAATTGCCAAACCCATGCAGTACATGCGACTGCTGTCCAACAAAGTATGTGCCTATATCATTCTGGTTGTGTGGGGCTTGTTGGTCATAACTGACATTGGTCTGTTTTGGGCCAGCTTGGATGACATCCAAGCTGATTACATTTCATTAAATGACTCGTTCAGCAGCACATATTTTCTCAAAAGATTAACTTTGATCTTTGATGTTTATTCCCTGCCTAACGTACTCATACTGGCGGTTTTTGTGACTGCGCTTGCAGTCATTGCTAGAAATCAACAGCGTAAAATAGAAGCTGAGAGAATTAACTTGGGAAACATTGCCACCGACGACCCTACCCACAACAAACGCGAGGTAGTCAGACCCAAAAGAGCCCACTCCTGTAAATCAATCAAATATTCGTGTATTTACTTTGCCACAATTATTCTTGCATGGGTTCCAACTCTTATCACGATGAACATTGGTGCTTTCCAAATGGATCATTTGAATAACTCTGTATTTATGACTACGTTATTGATTGTAGGCAGTATTTCCCTATTTCAGATGATACTGGGGGCGCTATTTCTGACATACGCACAGAGTGAACACAGACAGGTCCTGGGTAACTTACTCAAAAGTGTCATGAACAAACTATAAGGTGTTGAAAAATTTAACGTTAAAGTGTTTTTAAAAAAAAAGTAGACTGGAATTTAAAGGTAGTTTATTTGGCATACATGTGTACATGTAGATACAAATTGACACTCTGCACGAAGGTTACACGAATTCATAATACCTAAGACAGTTTATCCATTCCTATTGGTTGGGGGCCCATCACGTGCATGGTTTTAAACAGTTTATAAAACACCAACTGGTTTTAAACGCTTTATGCCTGCACCACTGCATTCTGCCACACATCGCGCAGTACGCGCCTCGCACGCGCCAGTCTCCATAAAAGTAGATTTCTAGCAATACTCGCACGAGGCACATACCATAGACATGGCCAGAGGGGCATTTCACAAAACATGAGGTGAAACTGGAAAATTGTGAATTTTCCACTTGTTTTGACTCTTTGACCGAAAGGTATTTATGAATGGGAATAAAGATGTGCTTGGCCGGTCATGATTAAACAAGTACATGTAAATCCGACTAGGAGCCTGGACATGGGTAAGATTGTTTTGTCTATTAATGTGTTAACAAACAATGTACAATTTATGTAGAGGTAATAATTTTGTTGACAACATTGAAAGGTCAAATGGGGAGGAAGCTAAACGGCACAGAAATCCAACAGTGAATTTAGAAAACAAATCAAGGACAGTTTTTTTCCAATTTGAGCTTAAAAATGTATGATGAGTAGTTCTCTTGAAATGAAATAAATGACAAACAAGCTCTGTCTGATAGTAACAATCAGGGTTTTTTTTGTTTACGAGCGATAAGACAATTCGGGGCCAAGCGTTTGGACCAAATTTTTTGCTCACACACGTGTTAGATTTCTCGTTGGACATGCTGACTGTATGAGTCTGATTTTCCTTATTTGGAGAAGCCAGGTCATGAGAAGATTAACCACGAATCGCGAATGCTGCTTTAGCTGTGTCAGTGTCTGTAAATTCAATTAATGACCTTAAGGAAAGGTCAAACAGGAGGGACTACAAAGGGCATGTTCATCCATGGTGGACAGGGTAAATGCAGCTTTGGAACAAAATACCATGTCCAGAGAATCACCATAACCATCCATGCTGTAATACTCAGCAGCCTATGCAAGGCCAAGAATTTTTTAGAAATTAAACAAGTACGCAATAATACAATTCCATAAAGACAAACGGTTGACAAGTTGAGTACTGCTAAAAAAGTATTGGTGGTACTAAAAATAATCAAGGCATAACAAACAATATGCATTGAAACTTTTGGTCGCTTGGCGACCAAAACGTGCTTGATTTCTTGACCTATATATATATTTCCGTTGCCTGGTGACTGGCTTTCGAATAAAGGACACTTGTTGATACAATACCAAGGGCAAAGATACACCGGAGGCACGGTGCCCCATACAACAAATAAGTGTCAACATCTGCCGCAGATATTAATCCATTACAGTTGCTCAGATCACTCAGAGTTTGATGTTGAGACGTTGTCCTAGGAGTACTAGGAGATGAGTTTGGATGATTGCAAACATTGCCTCTCAATATCGTGATTTAGTTTATCAACGCAAACTTCCAGACAAATTTAACGTACATGTACGTGCTTGGAATTTCTGAAGCACTACATTATTCTCTGTGAGGGGAAAGAGCAGTAAATCTTCATCTTTGGAGGGAAGACATGTAGTGATATTGCTGGAAGGAATCCCATTCCTGTGAAAAATGCACAAATAGCCTGAAAACTGTTCAGACAAGCGAACAGAAACAAACAAGTGTCATCAGAAAGGATCATTTCTTCCAAATGGCAGAATCAGCTCTTCAAAATTGCCAGTGATCAGACGACTAGAAAGACCCAGCCATTAACTGTTGTGTACTACAACTCAGCAACAGCTGATCACTGATGAACCTACATGTTGTAAGCTTGCACCTTATGTTTCAACTAGCTCCTCAAGTAAGGAGACTGACTCAGCAGAACTGTGATTATCCTGACCTGTTCCAC